GCGCCGCGAGTCGGGCGGGGCGCGGTCGGACGCGCCCGGATGTGGGGAGAGCAGCCGCATGGCCGGCGTCCGGCTGACTTGTGTCGCACAGACGCGCGGGCGGTGCCGTCTCCTGCTGCGGCGCGTGGAGTGCGTAATACAGGGCTGGCGGCGGTGGAGATGAGACTGCGCGGATGTTTGCGGAGGGCCGACGACCGCGCGCACGTTCCTGATGCGGTTTAGATCACGAAAACCAAATCCCACTGCATTCCCACGGCACGCGGAAAGAGCGCCAGTCGCTGTCACCGGTAGCCGAGCCAGAACCCATGCAAACGGGTGGATCGCTGCTAGGAAATGCCTCCAAATGTTAAGTTTGGGAGCCAGGTGTCAGTGCATGATTCATAAGGCTCACTGCTTACCCACAAATGGCACGCCTAGTCGCTAGCTGTCTCCAGTCTGGTTGGTTCAACGGAACCCACGAATCTGATGGTGGACTGTTCGCACGGGTGGACCGTGTGCTTGCCGGCCGGTTGTGTGGTTACGTTGGCGGAGGCACCGCGCCCAGGCTTTCTGCAAGACATTTACCAGATAAACTGCGCTTCACGAGCCTATGGTTTGTAACTTCTACGTAATCTCTCACGTAATTCGTATGCCCGTTCCGAACTTTCAATTGCTGAGCGGGAGTACACTGCTAACGTCGAACCAGTGTGTCCACGCGGTCATGTCCACTAGTCGCGTTACACGTTCTACGGGCCGTCGTGATTAGTTCGGTCAGGTGGCAGTCAAAGTCCTGAGGCCCGCGAAATTATCAAACAGTTTCCACACACGCTTCTACGTCTTCAACGTGCGAATCGAGTGCTTCCCAGCGTTCTTCGGGCGTGAAAATGAAATTAGGTGTCGCCGCAACGTTGCAGGCAGCGTGAGCTCGGAGGAATGAGCCGCGTGCAAATGCGTGGAAGACTGCAGCGGAACACACCTGGTACACGTGTCGTCCAAAACTACGTGGTGTGCACTCTATCCCAGGCCGCGACAGCACAAGAGCCTCCATCCGACCCGGCGGGTCAAATGCGCAATATCGACCAATCGGTGTTTCACACACCGCCGCAATTCTCCCGGCAGACTTTACCGAAATATCCCGGCAGCAAACCTAGGACGACTTTCCGCAATCTGCCCTCCCGCTCATGGGTGCATGGAGATCCAGTAAATTTGGCGGCGGCACGGCCCTCGGCCACAGCGCGGTGAACTTGTTCGGGCACTACGCGGAGGCCTGCTCAGAGATTATTCTGACCGCATCACTCATACTAGTGTATTCTTAAACAGACTCCTCACTTACCCCGGGCCATATGGCCGATACACGCGGTTGATTTCTTTGTCACACGTCAACCGTCCCGCACATTTTCACACTTTGAAGCGCCCTTCATGTTGGCTTTCGGACATTGCATCCCCGTCGCTAAATCTGCGGTTGGACCTGGCTATCGAATTCCACGCCTTCACACAAACGCGACAAAATGTCCACTGCCTAGTGGAATCAGTCGCGAGAGCTGGCTCGTAGTAGTCCGAAGACGCGTCCTTCGCGGTGCTCGCTGCACATTCCTCCCCGCAGCCGAACTCTCAACAAAACAAAAACCGCTGCAATGGTGCATGTATTGTCCTTCCGCACAGACGGCCTGTCTCCAGGTCACGTCACAGTGCGGGTCACCAAACACAAGCATCGCTACAGAGCACGTGTATTCGCCAGAAGCAATGCACATCATGTACGTGGTGGGCCGCGCGCCGGAGCCGCCATGAAAACAACATCGATCATGAGGGAGCTTTATTTACGAAACGCCGTTCTCGGTTTTCAGACGCAGGACCCATCCCGCACTTTGACAAGGCCGCACCAACAAAACAGGGCAAACAACTTTAGAATGAAAGACACAAAATAAACCAGTCCAAAAACACAACGCGCAGGGATGGAGGTGACTATGTGGTTGTTACACTGATTCAACGCAAACGCACAGACACTTGAATACCTGCGACGACCCGACCTAGAGCCTTACAAAATCACCCCTGCCCAGAAGCGTGGTTGCCAGGTGCCAGGCGAGTCATTTTCACCCCACGTCAGTAGCAGTCACGGTACGTCAAAGTACGGAGCATACGGCGGGACAGGGTACGGTCCGGTCGGGTGCTTTACCTGGCGCGTGCGCCTGTGTCGCAGCGCGGGGTTCCTGAAGGGAGGGCCGGCCGGCCGGGCGCGCGCCTGCCAAACCGCCCGGCCGCGAGGCGTCCGCCGCTCCGCACGGCCGCGGGCCAGCCAGACAGAGTCACGCCGCTCAGGCCGAGGGGAGAACGAGAGCAGGCGAACAGACCAGACCAGACCACGAGTCGGTTAGCGGGTCAGCCGGGGCCACCGCACGTCGGGTCACACGCCAGGACCGGGCCAGGGGCAGCACAGTCACCCGCAGACGACGGATACCAAGGCGCTGACGAGGCGAAGGCATTGGCGGCGAACAAGCGGATCCTCCCTGAGCGAACTGCGAGGTCAGAGGGCACCCGCCGGCCACACCCGTCTACTCCGTCCACCCCTGTCCCGAAGGTCGCGAACAGCACTACTCCCACTACGACCGCTGGAGTCGACTGGCGACGACCCAATGCCTGCCTAAGTCGGATGAGGCCAGTTGCTCCTACGGAGAGGTCGGTTCCGTACCTGTGGCAGAGCTCCTCGGTCCTCACGGCCGCGCCCCTAGCGAGACGGGACAGGCGAAACGAAACACCACACGTGCGTGACGGAGTGGACCCCAGATTCCGGGTGACGTTCGCTGACGACTCCCCCCCCCCCCCCCCCCCCCCTCTCTGTCTCTCCCCTCCCGCGAGACAATGCGACTGGGTCAATTTGCGGCGTCATAACGTGCATCGGTCAACCCCCCAGGCGGCGAACAGGAGAGACAAGTCAGGCGACGGACGCGAGTGCACGAGGCGGCATGGCAATTTCAGCGGCACGACAATCGAGAGATCACGTCAAGTTCTAAACGAGCGTTTGGCACCCGACAACCACGCTGTCCAGCCCTCGCCGAGAACGTCTCGCCCCCCTCGCGCGCGCCGGCGCCGGCGGCGGCCCCGTGAACACCGGACACCATGGCAGGTCGAGCACTACACGTGTCATCACATCGCACGCGCTGCACAGATTAGAAGAGAGAGAGAGAAAGAGCGAGTGACCGATGCGGCTCGACACCGGCAGCGGCGGGGTGCACGACACACACACACGGTCAGTCCGGCGGCGCTGCCTTGAGCAAGGCGCCCGGGCGGGCGTCGTCCAGCGCAGCTCGGCTCCGGCGGCGCGCAGAGCACAAAGTGGCGCGGCAATCACACAAGACGAACGACGAACAACGCAACCGGCAGACAATTTACGCATTGAATGGGCTACACCTGGCATATCTGAAAAAGACCGAACAGTGTTTATAGCAGAGCGCCGCCCCGGCGCGGCCATCCTGGAAGAGGCGCACGGGTTAGGTGGGCGGGCGGCGCACTTACCGGCGCGCTGCGGCGTCCTCGGCCGGCGCCGGGTCGCTGGCCGTGCCGTCTCCTGTGCCGCCGCCGCGCCACACACCACATGGCACAGCACACCACGTCACGTCACACACACACTGCGCTCCAGCTCTCGCGGCCCCGACGGCCTGACGTTACTGCGGCCGACGGCCGGCGGCACGCTGGCGCCCCGGCGGCGGCGTTACGTTACGCTGCGTGCGTGTGCGCGCGCGCGGCCGCAGCGCCGCCACTCACCGAGACAATGATGGACAGGGCCGGAGCTGGCGGGCGCGGCTAGTTGTCGCCCGAGCCCGGGTAGCCGCCGTACTGGCCATAGCCGCCCGGAGCGCCGCCGCCGCCGTAGCCGCCGCCGAAGTTGTACTGCTGCGGCTGGCCGTAGCCACCGGGCGCGCCGCCGCCGCTGGCCGGCGTCGGCGCCTGCGACTGTGGCTGCTGCTGCTGCTGCTGCTGCTGGCGACGCAGACAGCGGCGGCCGGTTAGCACTACGACGCCACGCTCGCCACTCACCAGGATTCGACGATGGCGTCTCAGTGCTTTGAGCTAGGAAACTGGGTACTTAACCGGTACATTAGCGTACATAGCGTGTTAACATGCTTCCACATAACACTGGCCCTCGCACCCACCAATTACAGCCCTCACTTCGCGGCGAGTCAGAAAAATGACCTCTCGACCCACGTGGTCAGCGCCGACACCACGACGGAATCCCATCCCGCAGCAAAAAAGTCCCGCGGTGAGATTCGAGCACCCGCCCCTCACCTTGCTGCTCTTCATCTGTTGCTCGAGCTTCTCGGCCTCGGCCATCAGGCCCTGAGAGCGGTAGTACTCCAGCCACTGAGCGCTGTAGTCGGCCTGCGCGCCGTTGGCGGCCGGCTGAGCCGCCGCCGGCTGCGCGGCCGCCGGCTGCGCGCCGCCGCCGCCGGCCGCCGCCTTGTTGGCCTTGCTCTGCTGCTCGATGGCCTCAGCCTCGCGGATCATGCCCATGTTGCGGTAGTACTCGGCCCACTGGGCGCTGAAGTCCTGGCCGCCGCCGGGGTTCATGCCGGGCGCGTTGCCTGCGAACCGGCGCGGCGCCGTCAGACGGGCTGAGCCGGCAGGAGCCGAAAACGCGGGGAGGCACGGGCGCAACTGCGGGCGGGGTGGGGGGGGGGGGGGGGGGGAGGCGCGGGGGGCGGCGGGTGTAGAATGTTAGCCGGCGGGCTGGCTGAATGAACGACTGGTCCGAGAGTTCGACAACGAGATTATCTGGTTATGTGCCACTCAGGTGAGCAACTCCACAACCTGGCACGAAACGGCAAACAAACGTGACGGCCAGCCCAGCTTCGTCTGGATGCAACAGAACCTCGCGTCGCCTGGCTGTCCATTCGCAAGTACCTGTCTATTTCAACTGAACTGCTGTGACGCGAAAACAAAATACGCGCGAAAGCCAGATGTGCAGCAGCGTGACCAGCACCGTGCCATACATTACGAACTTAACAAGTTGTCGTCACTGAGATGACGGCTGCGTTGCAGCAGAACATTTGACGAATCAAACGGAGCAGATGACATTTGTCTCGACTGACCTGAGAGGTGGCCGCACTCGGGTGGGGGGGTCGGACTCGGGCACTGACCTTGTGTGACGAGGTAGGTGCCGTTCTCACATATACCACCTCCCCTATTGCAACCCCCCATGAACAATCGTCGGGGCCCGAGTCGTGCTTTCGATGTGCACGCATGGAGCTCTGGGCGGGTAATTAAACCCCGTGTTTTGCAGTTTGAACTGCACGTTCGGTGCGGCGACCAGCGGCAACCAGTCAGCGCATTAATGAATATTCTTAATCAACCAGTCAGTATAATGCCTTTCATGTCCGAATGCCTCATTTATCTCCCCTTAAGTGATCTTGCGCACCGGTCACCGCCGCCAGGCGGACCCCCCCCCCCCCCCCCTTACCACCGCGTCATTGGGGCTTTACGACGCACTCAGCTGCTGAGGCTATATGGCGTCCCCTGCCCCTCACCCCAGCAGGAAGGCGGACACCGCGGGGAAGCGAACCCCGTACCTCTGGTTTCCCAGACGCGCAGTGGTCAACGCAGACGCGTTACCCCCCCCCCCCCCCCCTCTCGCCGGGTGCCATATGGTGAAGATAGCGGCGCCCGTCCCAAGAGTGCCGGTGGCGCGCCCGGGACCGCCAGCCCACACCCGACACCGCCCGTCCAGCCTCGTCGCACGACCTCGTGACAACCGCGCCGAGCCCGCTAGTTCGACCCCGCCCCCGCCCTGGAGCTACGCTACGGGTATGCGAGTGCGCGCGCCGCGCCGCGGCCGCCCAGACTGACCTGGCGCTGCCTGCGGCTGCGGGCCGGGGCCGGGACCGGGGCCGGGGCCGCCGGGCGCCTGGCCGCCCTGGCCGCCGTAGTACTGGGCGTAGTAGCTGTTCCAGCCGCCGTCCTGTTTACCGGGGTCGTTCTGCTGCTGGCCCCACACGCCCGGGTTGTGGAAGTTGTTGCCCCAGCCCTGCGGCGGGTAGGGGCCGCCCGGTCCGCCCGGTCCCGGGCCGCCGGGACCGCCGGGACCGCCGAACGGACCGCCCGGGCCGCCGGGACCGCATGGCTGAAACCACACGGCGGGCGTCAGCGGAGGGCGTGGCACAGCTGCCGCCGCGGCGACACACGCGCGCACGAACGAGACACGCGCAGACCAGACGCCGCCGCAGCAACCGCGGCGGCCACCGCACGGCGCGAGCGTGCTACCGAGCCGCCGGCACAGGCAGCGTCCACTCGCTGGCAGATGAGCCACCGCGCGTGCGTCACTAGGCCGGAGCTGCCCTTGAACACGGACGTCTCATCAGGGTTGGCCAGCGGCCGGCGCTCGCAGCGCGCGCCAGTCAGCACACTGCCCCTGGCCGTCCCCCCCCCCCGTCCCCCTCCCCCCCCCCTGTCGATGCGGAGGCCACACCGGCCGGCCGGCGGGGGGCAGCTCACCTCCTGTTTGCCGTCGCGGCCCATGGGCCCGCCGGGGCCGCGGCCGTAGCCGCCGCCGCCGCCCCAGCCGCCGCCGCCGCCGCGGCCGCCCATCTGGTCGCGCTTCATCACGCTCTCGATCAGCTCCTGGATGATGACCTTGGCGTGCTCGATCTGGTCGGGCGTGCCCGTCACTGTCGCCAGCCGCTCGTTGCGGCCGCTGATGTTCTGCTGGAACTGAATGTTGGCGCCCGTGTCGTTCTGCACCTTCTTGATCATCTCGCCGCCCTTGCCGATGACGACGCCGACGGCCGCCTGCGGCACCGTCACCTGGCGGCGCGCCACGCCGGCGTCAGCGAGGCGCGCGACGCGGGCCACGGCCGCCGCCACCGACGTTATCGCAGCTGACAAACAGACGCCCACGGGCCCCGGTGAGTCAGAGCGTCGGGCGGCGCGGCCATGACGCACGGCACGCTGCGAGCTTCGCGACGGGGTCCGATCACTTCCGACAGATGTTTCGGAGACCGGCCCACGTCATGGGCACAGCGACGTCCGCGCCCGGCTGCGGCGCGCGGCTGTTTACACTGCGCCGGCACATGCCGCGGACCCGACGCCGTGCAGTGTAGTGATGGTATTTCCGGCGTTCAGTTGAAAGTCTGAGCACCAGCGAGTTCCACCACGGCTATGTCGCAGGGGTAGAGTACCAGAAGTCTTGTAAATGCAGAAATCTGGCTCTATTTTCTGCTAGCCGACGACAAAAACAAAACGAACGCCACCCACGCCGTTTCGCCCGAATGTAACGGACCAGCGACCCAAGTACAAAACTGTACCCGTGCACCGTCGCCGAGGTCATTGTAACGGGGCCCGCACGATAGCCCGCACCAGGCCCGGGTGGCATCGCCTTTGCCAGCAGCTGTGGCACTGCCGGTGTTCCCTGACGGGGCCCCAGTCCGCCCCCGCACGTACCCGATGACTCAACAGCCATCGACCGGCCGTCGACTGTACGCGCCGGAGGTGCTCAATTCAACATCAACATCTTCCGCTACCGAGCCGGGCTACTAGATACACCGTAGTGTAGTGTGAAAGGGCACAGGACCCGGTATGAAGTATGTGAGCTACAATGACCGCTGGGGTGGTGCTCACTCTGCGCACGATACGGTGACACCCTTCCTGGCCACTCCATTCCATTATCAATGGCGGCGGCGGACGCCACACAGAGCTTGCGAATGATTCCGGCTAGTGCTGCGACTGGGAAGCCCCGCCGCTCGGCAGTCCCCGCGCACAGATGGCTGCCTCGGCGACCAGCGGATTGGGCCGGCAGCCGGCCGTCGCGACCTTTACACGCTAACCGGGGAACCTCGGCCATCGCCGGCGGCCGCCCCGCTGGACCGCTCCCTCGCAACGTTGGCTGCGGCGCAGCTGGCCGGCGCTGCGTCAAGAGCGATCGCAGACGGCACGGAACCCCGATGACAACTCATTGAAAAAAATGAATTGCAGTCCTGCTGAGCGTCGAAACGCCAAGCCGTCCGGGCTGGGCCTCCAAGCCATGACCACGCTTATGGTCAAAATACAGTCCTGAACATTCCCGTCCATAGACCCAGTTATCGCTTTATCCAGTTATCGCTCCAGTGGGAACTTGGTCCGCTGCACGACAGTTACCTTCCTTTGGGGCGTTTCGCACACTTTTCAATAAAAGCAGGTACACCACGTGCGACTGCCAGGCGCGCTGACTACTGTCGCGCGTAGAACGCGCCGACCGCAGCGCTAGCGCACACCGACACCGCTTTCGTCACCAGTCTTCTCCGCTCTCGCCAATGTCCACACCTGGCCGGCCGCCCTGTCAGCGCCAGCATCACGTGACGGCGCCGCGCCGCGGCCCGCGCGCCTCGCCGCCGGCACGTACCTCCTGCGAGCTGCTGCCGTAGCCGCGGCCGTAGCCGCCCATGCGGCCGCCGCCGCCGCCCCCGCCGCCGCCGCCGCCGCCACCGCCAGGGCCGTAGTTGTCCTTCTCGGCCATCAGGTCGAACACCAGCTGCTTGGCGCGCTGTGGAGGTGTGCGGCGCGTTACGAGGCTGCACCGCGTCTCGTGGCTTGACAGGCGTCGGGGAGAAAACTTCGCAGACAGGACTGGTGATAATCGGGGTTGCAGATGCGTCTGGTGCCCGGCCCGTCGGCCACGGCCGGCAACCAGGCCGGCTGATAGCGGTGGGACGATCGGCCGAGCCCGGCGCCGCCCGACGGGACAGCGGGAGGGGGGGGGGAGGGGAGGGGGGGACGAGTCTGCGGATAGCAGCTGACTCAGAGCGGCAAACACCCCCGATAGCGACCGGCGGTGATCCCGGCGGTGCAGCCGCCAATGCAATTCCGGTGGCGGCCTCTGCCACGGCGGGGCCGGGCACGGGCGGGTCCGATCGCCGCGATCTGACCGGCGCCGCTCCGGCCTTGGACGCCGGCGGCCGCTGCAGCGCTACAGCGGCGGAGAGCGCGGCAGATGTCTGGTGTCAACACACCAGTCACGACTCGTCCCGTCCCAGTGTCGGCGAGGCTACTATCAAACTCCACTCCCGGCCGCCGGGCGGCTTGTGGCGTTAGCGAATCCTGCCGGTGCTGTGGCGCCTCGACGGACCGCCGACCGGGCCGGGGTTGTGACCCGGCCGACAGGTCCGGACGCCGCCCTCCCCCACCCCCATTGCCACCCAACCACTAGGAGGGCTAGTCAGCAGGACTCGTATCACGGATCAACGCAGTCTCAAAAATGATCACGGGTCGACGTGTTCCCAACGAGTCTACGCATTGACGTCTTAATCACACATCGTCAAACGAAAATCCCAACATTGCCGGCGTCGCCACGGAGCCTCTGGTCCGTGAAAGCCCCCTGCAACCGGGATCGAACCCAGCGCCCAGTCCAAGGCCAGCCCGAGCCGGACTGACCTCGATCTGTTTGAGGTCGCCGGTAATGCGCAGCGGCTTCTCGGGCGCGCTGGCGTATATGCCGTCCTGCACCACCACCATCTTGGAGCCGCTGTTGTCCTGCAGCTGCTTGATCGTCTCACCGCCCTTGCCTGGCGGCGGCGGGGCACGCCAGGGTCAGTCGGGTTAGAGCCTGGGTCAGACCGGCTCCATCAGGCCAGCACAGCCACAGAGTGCGGGCCGCGCGCCGCACAATGGACGCTAACTGGACGCCACGCCTCACTAAAAGTAAGGACTGAGCAACAGTTCTGCTTTAATTGAGTATTGATTGGCCGATCAATAATGTTGCATCATGACCCATCTGCTGAAATTAAACTGCCCTTCATTATGCCACCCGAGAGGTTCCCGTAAAATGACGAATCCAGGCGGTCAATGGCATGAACAGCTGACTTTTTGAAAGCAATTTAAATGTCGAAATTACACACACAATGGCATGAGTACAGAGCAACCAGCACAATGCCGCGTAGGGTCCCGTCCCCCAGTGTCGGCGAGGCTACTATCAAACTCCACTCCCGGCCGCCGGGCGGCTTGTGGCGTTAGCGAATCCTGCCGGTGCTGTGGCGCCTCGACGGACCGCCGACCGGGCCGGGGTTGTGACCCGGCCGACAGGTCCGGACGCCGTTAATACCAAGTCAAAACATCACCCAGTTCGCGGGCCCCCGCCAACCCGCCGACAGAGCGCGGACGGCGCCGTCCCGCCGGCGCCGCGCGCGCCAGGCACGGCGGAGCACCACTCACCGATGATGAGGCCGACCTTGGAGCTGGGCACCATCATCTCGGAGGTGGTCTGGCCCGGCTGCTCGCCCATCATGTCGCTGAGGCCGCCGCCGCCACCGCCGCCGCCGCCGCCGCCCATCATGCGGTCGCGGTCGCGCTCGTTGGCGCGCGACGCCACGATGGCGTCAATCAGCTCCTTGGCGCGCTCGATGGCGGCGCGCGAGCCCGTCAGTGTGCACGTGCGCTCCGAGGTGGGGTCCATCGACTGCGGCGACATCTGGATCTTGGCGCCCGACTCGGCCTGCAGCCGGCTGATGGACTCGCCGCCGCGGCCGATGATGAGACCCACCATCCGGTCCGGGATCATTATGTCCTCCGACTCAACGCCGCCCATGCCCATGGGCGGCCCGCCGCCGCCCATGCCTCCCATGCCGCCGCCCATGCCTCCGCCCATGCCGCCACCCATGCCTCCGCCCATTCCGCCGCCGCCTCCTACGACGCCGCCGCCACCGCCGCCGCCGCCGGCGCCGTCGCGCATGGCAGCCAGCTGGGCACCGAACTGGTCGCCCATGCCGGCCGGCCGCTTGCCCTCTGGACCTGCTGAGAAAGAGTTGGTCAGAGGTGCTGGCATACTGCCAGCCCCAAACAAGGTATGATGTCAGTCGTGATTCATTGATCCTGGGGGTCATGTCAGTCACTGACCACAACCATGACAGCTGCTCATGTCAGATGCAAAGGACCAGGCTGTGGCAGTCTCACATTTGCCAGCAATGGTTTGTGAAAACTAGATGCCCTTTTTATGACAACTATGTGATAGAGCATGGCATACATTGCCTAGCTTATTTTAGCAGTACTTTGAAGTTTGAAATCAAGAATCCAATGATCATGCATGACAATGCATGGGGCCATCTCCAAACAACTGTTTAGTCTGGCAGGAGTGATGTAATGTAAACCTTATTGAAATTGGATTCTCCTACCCACCACTCATAACAAGCCACTTCAGGACAGAAACATGTTCTCAATAATTAGGAAGCAAAGGTAACTCTACACCAAGTCTCAAATATGCTCTTGCAATTCTATTTTTGCTTACTGTCATAGGGCATGTTGACTATAATGGTCATTTTAAGCCTATTCTCACACTTGTAGAATGCATCCAAAATTCCTCATAAGACATACACAAGACAAAAATCTAATCAACACCACCAGCATCTGTCTTGCTATTTCCTGGACAGTTTTACCACAAGGAAGTGAAAAGCATGAATTATATATAAAAGAGCATAATTAATAGGATAATTGATGATATAACATGACATGACAGATAGAAAGAGCACCAATCCCATCTCATTATTTTATAGATGGTTTTGCATGAAATTGAAGAAAAAAAACACAAATTATACATCAGAGCATGAGTGATAGGATAAATTTTGACATAGTGCTATGACATGCACATATGTTGAGAAAAAATGCTTTGAAATTATAAAAGCCATACTTGTGGCTGAACTCTACTCTAATAATTGGTTCCATATGATCTTGTTTTATTAAATAATAGTCATATTTATAGCTAGCTTCTTTAGTTCTATTCCAATCACAATTGATGTAATATGATTTGGTCCTGTTCTATTTTTCTTGCATGGCTTTGTAGCTAAGCACTGCTGCCAGTGCATGCCAATATCTGTGGGAATCTACATTAAGAGCAAAGTAGATACAATATATATGCCTATAATAATGTTTCAATTTAAATTAAGCAAAACAAAAAACATTATAGATTGATACCATTATAGCATTTCTGTATGTCAGAAGCATAAGGCAAATGTCAAGGCAGACAAAGCCCATTAATCTCACAATATGTTATTGCAGCAGCAGATAGCAAAGACCAGAACAGTCTATGCCAATGCTGCAAGCTGCATGAATTTTAATTACGGCAAACAAATGACTTACCCATATTATCCATATCACCCTCAAGAGGTCTTTTCTGGCCTACTGGAGATACACCAGGATTTATTTTGGCAGCAATCTGGAACAAAGAGTAGGTGTTCACTCCATCACCTCAGGACCACAGCAATTGTACAGAAAATTATTGCTAAAATTCAAGGTCACTAACCAGGCCTGCACAACCAAGCAGACCAACATAATTGAGGCACAATAACCCACATTCTGCAAAAGCCATGTTGGAACCATACAGCACAATATGTAACGTACTAAACCCCAAACTACAAAATTTCGTTTTCGTACGGGCATGCGACCCACGCGCCATTTTCGCCAACCAACGAAAAAGGAAGTTTACACACAGAGCCCACGTACGATCACAATCCCAACCCTTCCAACTACTACAAACGCACACATTTAAGATTTTACACGACACAGCCGTTATTGCTTGCAGACAAACGGAAAATACTGGACACCGGCCAAATGACCACCCACGACCCGCCATTTTTCCGAGCGCCGTTTACTGCTTATTGCTGAAGGATGCGCCTTGAAACATCATACATTACCTGCTTGGCTCTCTGAAGAGCGTCAGCAAACGCAGGGCTCTGAGAAAAGTTGCCGGAGTTTTGCAGCGGTTGTGCAGCCAAGTCAGACATAATGCAAAATGGACGACACCGGCGTCACGCACGCGCGGAACGCGTCACTGCACCGGATATGACGGAGCTTCCTTGCTTAGAGAAGATGGAAAACCATTTTATTCTATCGATTTCCCAATGCATCGGTCAGCTGTTCCTTCCCCACGCAGAGCGTTGTGCTCACTGTGCAAGTTCTTTGCGTCTAGATCGAAACCATTAATCCGTCTTTTGTGCAAAATTCCTATCTTAACACATTTTTTCCCGAGTATGACTGAATATTTTTTAACGATACAAGAGGCCAAACCTTGCCGTTGTCAGCACCGTACTGATTAAAGTGCAATATCACCATGTAAGGAAGCATATCACACATTCTATAAAAACTGTGGTTTTTTATTCAGACGAAATCCTACAAAACAATATAAGCAATACCATTTTCGTTAATGCAAAGAACCGAAGCCAGTTTGTTTTTTCACTAAAGTAAACAAGACATTTCCAACGCTTTAGATGCGAGAACGAGTACCTTGTTCAACGGTATTTGTGCATTGAGGTTGTGGACCGTCCGAATGTATGTATTTGAAAATTCTTCACGTTTTCAGAATGTGTCCTAATGTCCCGGAGATTACCTTAGGGTATTGGTTTATTATACAGTCCAATGTTTTCGAAGGATTGCCCTCCATCGGATTTCGCGTCACCCGAAACCTATACGCCCGTTCACCGTAAATCGCCGTAAACCGCTGCGGGGTAGGTGAGTGTCCATCATAAGGACCAGAACGCCAAGAATATTAGTTATAACTGGTATACATAGTTTGGCAGCAACGTTTTGATGGCGATGTTATCGCATGCATGCATGCTGTAAGTCAGTGCATTTAGGGAATCTTTGTCAGTGTGACAGAATTTCAGTGCACACAAGCTGCTAATCTAAGTGCTTACAGTTTGGTGCATGGTTGACACTAATTTCAGTGCATAATGCCACCTTATTTTAGGGAACTATGATGTTGCAAAGGTGCTTTTAGGCAATCAAAACACTACCATGCATATTCATTGCACATGACAATCAGTTTCAGGATACATGTGATAGGAGTCTGGTGAGTGAATTGATTTTTGCAGATTGAGCATGTAGGAATGCCTTAGGTTCAGCACACTAATGTAACATAGCTGTCTTGGGAAGTGGATTTTTTTGGACTGGCATTAGGGCTCTCATGACAGGCAAACAGCCAAAAATGGTGCATATATTCGATCAGTATCAATTTGCTTGACCCATGTTTTACTAGATCCTTAATTTATAATGATATAATGAGGTAGCCATACTTCAGTATCTTTTTTCTTACATGCACTGCTTTCTTGAAGATACCGGGAACATTTTGGCATGCCATTACAAAATCTTTTTTGAGGCACAGAAGTCACATCAGGTTTATGAGAAAATGTGAGCTTATCCTGAGGCACTTAGCTCTTTTGCCTAGTACATGGTAGAAATTGTGAAGTTGTGATACCAGGTTAATGGAAACAAAAGTTACAGCTGAGAACATCACGTGAGAGGAGGTATAAAAGTAGAGCAATACCTACAAGAAGAGCATCAGCAGGGCTCTTATGCATTTTTAAAAAGTGGGTGGCTATACTCAGGGTATATATAAGGAACTTTTACTGTGAAACAGGCTTGAGGGGATGGAGATGGAGGACATAATCTGCTCTTGATTCATATGACATTTTAGAAATGATTAAATGTCATGGCTGTCATGAAAGATATACATCTACAGCTGTGTCCATCCATGCTGCAAATTATGCACCTTCCTAAGACTATTCTTCCATTTCAACATTGCTTTTTTATCTGGGGAGGAAAAATTCTACAATCAGGTAGGTGGTTTGGGTCATTTGGCATGTGTCTGCCTCTTCAGGGTAGATGCCAAAATATGGCCTGGCACAGGCTCATCAGAATGTGAATCCATCATTCATAATGCACCACAGTTTTTATGCACCTTTATTTATTGATTGGAGCACCGTTTTTCAAGAGATGAGATTTGTTGCCAGCATTTAACCTCAAAACTGATGAGCATTGTAGGCAGAAACAAATTTGGAAGCTTCAAATACTTGCTGCCAAAAACAGTTTGACAAAAATGATAAAACCAGAGTTTCCCCTGTGAAGTGCTAAGTCACAAAATGGGGTCCCTTCTTTCAGATATTCCTTATCTGACCCCACTCCAGTCCACTGTCAGCAGCCACTCCCTGGCCTGGATGTCCCCTGCATGACTGAATGATCTTATGGCTGCTTTGCTGCATGTAAATGAATCAGCATCACCACTCCTTGGTGTGTAAAGTAGGGTTGTAGCTTCCTTTTCAGTTGGGAGTGATGCCCCCTCCCACCAACTTTCAATAGAAAGTGGGCAAAATATTGGGATAAATCTGTTTTTTTGGCATATTTTGGGCTAGGTTGGGTCATTTTTCATCATTCAGCCCCCTTCCCTCTCCACCTCATTTTGAAAAACTATACCTCTGGTGCAAAGCATGTATTGAACACCTGTTGCAGCATTTATTTCTGAAGTATCTTTCTTTGCTTTCTTTACATTTATTGCCCCTCATTCAATGTACCTGACTTGATCCACTTTTGTATGTAGGCAGGGGTGTACATAGCTCAGCACGGATATTTTGTCAGACCCCATGGCTCATTTGATCAAAGCCGCCTGCATTCTGATTCACCCACCTGTGGCGGGGTGAGTTCGAGTCGCTTTAGATGCTCGCTGTTTGACCTTGACAGGTATGACCTGCGGCCGGTGGCAGCCGGCGCGATAAAGGTCAGATTACGTCAGAGGGTAGGACGGACCGTGCGGAGCATTGCAGCACATTCAGCTTTTGCTTCCAAATTCTGCTGCTGGCATGAAATTGCGCGATCAGGTGGGTGGGGATTATGGCTCACACAACAAGCACTGCTTAGCGTTAACTCTGATCCCGGAAATCCATCCATTCAAAAGGTTTGTACAAGATCCTTGAAAAGAGAATATAGCTCACTTGTTAACAAGCCTTGCCAGGAAGGGCACAGGGTTGACAAAGACGTCTTGATAGTAAAAAGCCCCCCCCCCCTAAAAAACCGCCTCACGCTCACTTGTTAGTGAAGGGCACCATTCACGGTTCTGGTTACTGTTTCTAATACCGTTTTATGTTCTTCGCTTCACTATTTGATTCTGCAACAGATTGAACGTTCTCAGCAACCAAACATGGGTTGGTCCTTTTTACTTTTGACTTCATTTCGATCCACTCCGTTCAACACCTTTAAGACCCCTCACATTTTCTGGGCAAGGGGCGCTGTAAGTAAAACACTAGGGGGCACATTGTCATGACCGGGTCACGGCTGAAGGGCCATTCTGTCCCAACGCAGGGTGCATTCCGGAAGCCGTTCTGGGGCCATGGGGCAGGTTCTCCCCGGTCGGTCAGGGGGCCCTTAGAAAGATGCATTGTACTATCTTGAACTTCATGAACATATGCGGACAGAACTATGAGCGGTCATGCATAAGAACCACGGTTTCATTAAAGGGCAGAACGGAGCTTTTGGTTCCAGTGGAACCATGGGTTTGTCTCTAAATATATCCACTGTCATACATGAAAGCATAAGATGCTTCCATTTACCACATGAAGCAACTGTGTCTGGTGCAGTTTGAGGAAGATGACTGGTGGACTAGGTATGTTGGCATGCACGTCTAAGGTAGTACAACATTTAGCTAAATGTAAGTGGGATAAGAAAAAAGTGGGAGACAGTTAACATTGCTGCCCCTCACTTTGAAAACTGGAGGCATGGGACCCCTGCCTCCCCCACCCCCTGTTCCTGCAGCCAAGTGCTAATGCACGCCCTAGTATTCTATTTGCCTGCACTCTGTGCTGCCTATTTAAAACCAAAAGTAGTTGCACTGAAGTATTGAGGTAATAACAGAAATCATTTTTTGCACAACACTCTTAATATGCAAGCATCTGAATTCTGAATCATCATTCACATGGGTTCAGCTTTTCAAAATCTCACATTTATGCTGAGATTTTATGATGAAGCATGCCACTGTTATTTTTTTATGCTTCTTCATAAATTTGTTCTAAATGGTTTGCGCAGATGGCTTTGGGTTCATGGTACTTGCTAAGCAAAGCTTGCTGCACATACCTCGAGCTCCCTAACCGAGTTGCCCCATCCCATTCGATGGATGGTTTTGTATTTTGTCTTTGGCTTTCGCTTGACAGGGCTGTTTGTTTCTTGTTCTTTCTGAAGTTTGTTTCTACTGTTTTGTCCAGTGGGACTGAGGAAATACTTTTTAGGTGTAATTCACAATGAGCTATTATGAATAAAGGAGCTGAAATAAGCTCACATATAACTATTGATATACTTTTCACTGGTTATAAAAGCTGCTCAAGACAGCACAATTTTCTGTTTTTGTAAATATGCTCCGCAATATGTCATGGTTTGATTACGTCGTCGTACCTTGCACAACGTTGATTGAGAGCCAATTGACAGTCACTCTATCTGGAAAGCGTGCTCACGGACGCCAGATATGAACGACTGGGCAACTTTATTTATGTTGGTCTGGGTTGCTGCATGCCCAACGGAATGGCAGGATTTAAATGACGTTATTTTGGCGGCATGAATGCCTGGGTGACCTTGAAAAAGTCTCCCCGAAATAGTCTGTACATTTTCGCGGACGTGCTAAGAAACTAGAAGGATTTAGGTCTCATGAAGGGTATTCCTGTCAACTCCACCGAATAATCCTCATGACAACTTTTCAGTTCAAATCCCCATGCAAATGTAGCACACTCCCGTCCATAGAAAAATAATGGACAGGATTGCAGCATGTGATGCGTGCTGCAATAAATCAGGTATGCGTCAGCTCAAGTTGGTTTACGCCGTCTGCATACTCAAGCTCCTGCCATAGTCAGCTCCACCCACTGCAAGGCGTTGCCAGTAACGTGACCGGCCTAGACCGACATGAACACGCGACCACAGTGTTGCGAGAGCTAGGATGGGGCGGATCGATAGCATACTCACGGAATGTGCCGCTGCGATATTGCACCGCCTCCTTATGGCATCAGATACGCCAGAAAAGTCGTCGAGAGAGAGAGAGAAAAGTCGTGAGCCGCTTCGCAGAGTCTGCCCGCCGTGCTCGAGCGACCGGGCAGGGCTCGCTAGAGCTGTCGCTCGCGTGTGGGGACCGAGGTCGCGCGACGTACTTTTCCATATTGAGCCACGAACGGCTAGGATCATGTCTCATGAAACGTCAGGATGTCGCCCGTTCAAAACACTCGCGTGATGTGATGCCTAGACTGCGCGCGAAAGACTGGATGCAATGCAGTCCAACGTAGTTGCATGTGGTGTAAAAGCTGTAGGTGCTGCTCTGTGAAATAGCAGTGTGATGAATGCATCCCCTACCCCGTTCCCTTGACCGGACATTACAAGTCACCTGGTGATCACTCCCATCACTCTCAGCCGCCACCTCTCCCGCCAGGTGTCAGCTGAGGGCCTGCGTGCCGCCAGACCCCGCCATGACCAGCGTCGCCGCTCCCGAAGCCGGCGCCGCCGCCGCGACGCCCCGGCCGCCGCCGGCCGCCGCGCGCTGCGTGGTGTGCGCGGCCGTCGTGCCGCCGGAGCGCGTCGTCGCGGCGTGCAGCCGGCTGGCGCGCTGCGGCCTGACGCTGCTGGCGCGGCTGGCGCAGCTGCTGCCGCTGCGCCAGCCGGCCGCGCAGACGGTCTGCGCCGGCTGCGCGCACCTGGTGCTCGGCATCGACGAGCTGGAGCACCAGCTGCGCGAGAAGCGCCAGCTGCTGGAGCGGCGCCACGCGCAGCCCGAGATGCTCGTCGCGGTCGACGTGGCGGAGCGCGCGACTGAGGCCACCGGTGAGGTGGCGCGGAGCTGCCGCTCCGTGAGGATTAGGGACGTGGGAATGTCTGTCGTCTTGTCACACGGGGTGATTGGTTCATGAAATAGCGCTGCGGTGGATGCCTTCGCCAGACTAGAGAGGCGCGGTACTCGAACGTCCCAGCAGTATCGGTTCTCGTTTATGGTGTAATAGCGCTCGAGTAACGGTCGTGGTTTGCTTTTGTCGGTGGCTGCTTGATGGTAAGGCTCATACCCAGACGCTGACTTTCACTGGTGGGGTCGTTCTGCAACGCATTCCAAATCATCTGGGACACCCCATGCTATGTGTTGGGATACGCTGACACCCGAGGACAGCCTACGCATGTCGTCACAGCCCGTCGAAGATGGGTGTAAACACATGCACCACAAAGGCCTGCTCCCAGTGACCTCCTTGGTCAGACGGCCGTGCACGTGGTCACGTGGTCACGACCCACGTGGTCAACCGGCCGCAGCTGTGGCTCGTCCCCGGTTCACACGAGTGGGCCCTGTGCGCAGGACGAAAGCCGGTGCGATCGACGAGAACCGTCAAGCCCGTACAGTCGGCATCCGAGTCAGAGGTGAGAACGAGTGAATTCATTCGCCAGCACCGTTTACATACCCGCGTGCGTCATCCTCGAGCTGAGCGAATACGAGGTCTGATCATTCTGGCGTAAGGTCTTTCATATCATTGTTTTGTGGCAGGCTTTGTGTTATTGAAGACAAAAATATTCGGGGTTTCATGGTATCGTGTTTCGGCTCTGCTCCTGGTGATTGCGAATCTGTTATGTTACTGGCGCCGACAATGCGCAGAATCAACTGACGACCGTGTCAATCAGAGCGGGCGTCAAAGCGTAGTTGTGTGGTCTCCAGGCGACTCAGCCGCCCGGGCCTGAGCCGCAATCTCTTTCCTTGCTACGCTTGAACGTATCCTTGAACTTGAACGCTTCCTTGAACGCTTGAACGTATTTGGACTTGGTTGCCTTCGTAGCACATCTGCCCTCCAGTGGGCCATAGCTATGTATGTGGATGTGGTGCCGTCTGCCGTCGTGTAGCTCTTACTCGTAATTTACTGTTTAATGGCTTGGCACTGCCTCCAGTACCGGCTATCCTTTCTGACGTACTCCGTCCCCGCCAGGACGACCCCGACGCGCCGGCGTCGGCAGCGCCTCCCGCGGCGGCCGCCGCAGACTGCAGTTCGGAGCCGCGCCGCCGGGCGGAGCTGCTGCGCCGCAGCCTGCAGTCGCTCGCCGTCGACCGCAGTCAGGAGCTGCCGTTCCAGTGCCGTGTCTGCGAGCGGCGGCTGCGCGACCGCACGACGGCCGTGCGCCACGTGATGTCGCATCTGGCCGAGCGGCCGTTCGTCTGCCCGCACTGCTCGCGCGGCTTCGTGCGGCGCGCCTACCTGCAGACGCACCTGCGCCAGCACAGCGGCGAGCGTCCCTTCGCCTGCCACTGCGGCTACGCGGCCACCTCGCGCGGCGCGCTGGTCGCCCACCACAAGGCGCACACGGAGGGGAAGCCGGTGCGCTGCGCCCAGTGCGGCAAGGGCTTCCGCAAGCGGAGCGATCTGGTCATCCACCAGCGCGTGCACACGGGTGAGCGGCCGTTCCGCTGCGCCGTCTGCCCGCGCGCCTTCGCCAGCGTCAGCAGCCTCAACTACCATGCCAAGGAGCACGCGGGCGGCGGCGGGCGCGGCGGCGCGCGCTGCGAACGCTGCGCGAAGTGGTTCGCCGACGCGGCGAGTCTGCGCGCGCACCGGCTGGCGCACGGCACCAAGCCGTTCTGCTGCGACCAGTGCGGCATGCAGTTCACGCGCTCGGCCGCGCTGCGGCGCCACCAGTCGCGCCACGGCGTCGCGCCCGCCTTCCGCTGCGGCGAGTGTCGGCTGCCGTGCCGCTCGGCGGCGGCGCTACGCAACCACGCGCGCGTGCACACGGGCGAGCGGCCGTTTGCGTGCGACGAGTGCGGCCGCCGTTTCGCGCTGCAGAGCACGCTGACCACGCACAGCCGACGGCACACGGGCGAGCGGCCGTTCCAGTGCGAGTTCTGCCCGCGCGCCTTCGCGCAGGCCACGCCGCTCAAGCGGCACCGCAAGACGCACGGCGCGGCGGCGGCGGACGGCGCCCTCCGCGCGCCGCCGTCGCTGCCGCCGCCGCCGCCAGCGCCGAGCACGGTGCATCCCTTCCACGGCGCCGCCGTCTGCGGCGCCACCGCAGCGCCCACAGTCGCCTCCGCCGCCTCCGTCTCTACCCCCGCCGCCACCGCCGCCGCCGCCGCCACCGTCGTCGCCGCCGCTGCCGGCCGCCAGCCTGGTGACCATGATGGAGGTGTTCACGCCGCAGCCGGAGGAGCGGGGCGGCGTGTTCCACGAGATGCAGCCGCTGCAGGGCACGCAGCGGTGCCCGCTGTGCGCGGCAGAGACCACCACCAAGGAGCTGATGGACGAGCACATGAAGGGACACCTCGAGGACCTCGACTCGCGGGCAAAGGCGACGCTGCCAGCGCTCGACGCCGCCTGGGAGTGACTGATGTGAACTGTGCAGGTCACGTCAGATCGGATCAGATCAGATCAGATTAGATCAGGTCAGGTCAGATCGGATCAGATTAGATCAGATCAGATCAGATCAGATCAGAACAGAACAGAACAGAACAGGACAGAGCAGATAGTTCAAGTCAGATCAGACTGTATTTGTCTCTCAGGGTACCCTTTTATGTGCAGTCTTAGGCAAGTGTCGGCGCATTGGCGGTCCCCCGGGGTTTTGTCTCCGGAGGAGAGAGACTGCGATGCTGCTAGGATGGCACACTGCCGCCCTGCACGTTATCGCTCTGGTGCGAAGTACAGCGGGGGTGCTGAAAAGCAGCTCCAAGCATGCGATTTCCATTTGATCTGCACTTCGACCTTTTAGGAATATGCTAGCTGTTTACAAGTTTTTTTAGTGCTGAGGGAGATACGTTCATCTTTTTTTGCGAGCCTAATGTGAGAAACAAGTGACTATTTTTGGAAAAAAACTACCCCAAAACGCCATCTTACTGCATTGCCATAAGCAAGTCTTTCTCTGTATGTTCCTACCTGTTAACTGTTGCTTACGGAGTCCAATTTCCGGACGTTCGGGATGCTTTCCACTTTAATCACTTTATTCTTAGTCATGTTTTATGGCGATGGCAGAAATGTGCCTGTCGTGTGGGCTACGTGGCGAAGTGATATTACGCTGTTGTTTTAATTCCATGTGTGTGTGGTATACGTTGTCCACCTTTGCCCGTCTCGGTTCGTGTTGCACACTGCGGAGACCCGGGGGAGACCCTGCGGAGACCTGGAGACCCGGCCGGTCCAGCCGGGCGTCAAGTAGGGCGGCGCACTCCCTAGCGACACTGTGATTGGTGGCTCGATAACCACACGGCGGCAGCTGCACAATAAAACGCAAGCAGAAATGGGAAGCGTTTGGGCAGTGACATGCTTTGCTTGTAACCGTGGCGTTTTCCAAGAGGTGGCCATTGGCGATGGCTAACGTCCAAAAGGCCGTCTCTTACTTATCCGGATCATACTCTAAGCCTGGCCAAATATTGTCATAGCTGGAATTCGCGTCTTGACCTTCATTGGGCAGACGGCGCAAGACGAGGGGGCTTCTCCTGTAGCAAGAAGTGGCTTCGGTAATGAGAAGGGAATGCAGCGCGCGTGAGCTACGCCGAAAGCCGTCTGTCCCACTGGTGCAAGCGCCACGTTTCTCATGCGGGCCCTGCCCGACTGGCGACGCCCTCTTGACCGGCGTTCAGCGCGCCGTCCGGGGCACTGCTTCGCATGCGGCGCGGCGCCCGCGGTGGCGCGGCGGAAATCCGAGCCGACGCGGTCGGGGAGCGGACCTCGGCTGGCGGCGGGCGGGATTTCACCCACCGTCACGCCTGGGGTGGGGACCGCGAGCCGCTACTCGCCGGACGATCGTCGCGCTGGGAGCTGTGTCGCTCCGCTGCGGCTCCGCTCCGGTGCTGCCCCGCGCTGGTGCTGCGTCGCTCCGCTGCTGCTCCGCTCCGCTGCTGGCTCCGCTGCTGCTCCGCTCCGCTGCTGGCTCCGCTGCTGCTCCGTTCCGGTGCTGTCCCCCTCAGGTGCTGCTCCGCTCCGGTGCTGCCCCGCGCTGGTGCTGCGTCGCTCCGCTGCTGCTCCGCTCCGCTGCTGGCTCCGCTGCTGCTCCGTTCCGTTGCTGCCCCCCTCAGGCGCTGCTCCGCTCCGGTGCTGCCCCGCTCTGCTGCTGCCCCGCCCTCAGCCCGAGGCCGGCTCGCTGACAGAGCAGGTCGTGTGACGTGGAGCTCCGGAGGTACATCTGCCTGGTGGCGCTCGAGCATCGCACTCCAGACGCTCGTCCTTGCCATTCCCAAGACCAAATCACGAGAAGTCTGTTGGTCTGCCGCTAGCTCACGAGGCGACCATGCGGCTGGTCCACGGAAAGATGGTCCTCCTGGGAGCCGAAGGTATGACGCATCCAAAACTCTTGATGCACAGTTGGTAGTCCACGTTTTGTGTGTGTGTTTTTTTTTTTGCATTGTCAATATTCTGAAAGCCATGCCCCTCCTTCACCGAGCATTTCGTGTTGCGTGACAAATGAGGGGTTCGCAAATTCGTGGGATCAGGCAACATGCGACGATCCACCATTAAGCACTCCATCATCTTTAGCCGAATATGACCTCTGAGGTGATCAGGACTCATTTGTTGACCGCTGCGTGTTCGACCTCTTCAGGCGTCGGGAAGACGTCCCTGATGCTGCGCATGGTGGAAAAGCAGCCGCTGAGTCCGACACCGACCGTCGGGGCCGCGTTCTTCAACTTCAAGATGAAGATCGGCACCTTCCTCGTGAACCTGCAGGTAGCTTTTGTCGTCGAGTCCGGTCACGACCGCCAGTGTCCAGTTCGCCCCGCGCGAAACGCGAGCATCCCGAGTGTGTATGCGCCAGCCCCAATCCCGGCACCCCGTGTTTGTTCACCTTGTGTCCGTGTTGTCCCAATGTCCCACTGCTCTGACCCACCGACTCGGTGTCGCCAGGTGTGGGACACGGCCGGCCAGGAGCGCTTCGGCGCCATGGCGCCTCTGTACTACCGCCACGCCAACGCCGCCCTGGTGGTCTTCGATGTTACTAACTTCGCCAGCTTCTCCGCCGCGCAGCGCTGGATTGACGGTGGGTGCGAGAGCAATGGGGGGGGGGGGGGGGGGGCATCGTGAGCGTATCCTGGTGTGGGTGCAGCTACTGAGGTGAACGTGCCCACGAATTTTCACAAATTTCGATTTTGGTCCCTCCACGAACAAACTTTTGTCCGAACGATGCGTGGTTTTCGATTGTTTCCCTTCGAAATACCATTTGCAGGTCAGGTTGCCCACTAGATTTCAGTTTGACTCCCCGTCATAAAACCCTAGTTTGTCCCCTTCCCACTCTCTAAAATGTGGTTACGCCTAACCACCAACAAGGTGCGTGCCTGGACCCCGAAAACTCATTGAGAGGCCCGGACCCATTGAGAGACCATTGAAGGACTCTGTGGGAACCCTGATCTCCCGCTAGGATCCAGACACATGCGACGCTCCAACCACCATGTTGGATTCCCCGCCGGATCCGTGGCGCATCGCTACACTCCTTTCACGATGGATCCTAACCGATCAGCATGCAGCTGACCAGGCGTCCCATCAGTGCAAGCAGATGTGGCTTGCCTCACAACAGTAAAACATGTGATAATGATGCGATAGTGTCTGCAGTGTGCCGCTTGTGTGTATCGGCGGCGAGGCTGACATGGTGAGACATAGATATGAGGCTGACATGGTGAGAGCCGCTCACGGCTCGCGGCGAGCAGGGGAGGGGTTGTGTACGATGGGGGTGGGGGGATGCGGTGCGACACTGCAGCGTGCTGCGTGTGTACACACAGGAGTTATCTGTGATCTGACCTACCGTGTATGTCCTTTTGGCACGTGCAAACCATATTGGAGCTAATAAGTAAACGGAGGGAGGGAGAGGAAGAGGTAGGGAGAGAGAGAGGGAGAGAGAGAGAGAGAGAGAGAGAGAAGAGATAAGAGAGAGCGATCTAGATATAGCAAGATGAGGAGCGAGAGAAGAGAAGATAAGAGCGAGAGATGATATTCTCAGAGAGATAGCGAAGAAGAGAGCATGAGAGAGAGCAGCTCGAAGCTAGCGCTAGAGAGCGAGCACGCGTCGGACTCCTAGCGCATGCGAGGAGATAGAAGAGAAAGAGAGAGAGAGAGGAGAGAGAGAGATGGACAAAATGTCTGCCGGAGGCGGTCATCGGGTCATCGAAGGTCGGGGCTCACTTCACAGGGGCGCCTTGATGAACTATGTGAGATACGCCTGAACCTCAATCAGCGGCCGCTTGTTCCTAAGCGCTGCCACGGCAGGTCTAGCGCCAATGTGCGGCCTGTGGACAAGGACGAAGCGTCCTGGTTCTGTCAGCAGCGCTGGCGAGACGCCAACCTAGATGTGAACAACACTCATGTCGCGCCAAAAAAAAAATGCTGTGTCAGCCATGATGTGCCGTTTGCAACCATGCCGTGCCATGTGCGGGCCGGGGGTGCCTTTCTCCCGTGACGCGGCAAAAAAATCGTGACATAACGGCCATGAACCGCCGTTTGCGCGAACACCTGCCCCCACCCTCTTTCACCCCCAGTGTAAAATTCTCCCCCCCCCCCCTCCCCGCTGGTAGGAAAGACACGGGGATGTGATATCAAGCACGACGGCAGCCCAGGTGTGCCTGGTCCCCTGTTCGAGCGACGGGGACAGAAGTTAGCGGGACGATATGCGACAGCCGGTCGGCCCCGAAGCCCTGCAGCGGAGGGGAAAGGTGACGGGGGGGGGGGGGGGGCGGTTCGGTGCGAGCGCCCCCGGCAAGTTCAGTCTGGGCAGGTTGGTATGTTATCGGTGTGTACCGAGTGCTGAGATACTGTTGCCAGCAATCGCAACACCTAGCAGGGAACGTGCTGTTTTTTCATCAAAAGATTTGGCCCGAATGTTTTGACTGGATAAATTTGCGGGGTCTGCCCTACGGTGAGCCTTTCTTGTTGCGTGAGCCCCGAGCTCACCAACCGCTTGACATTCTAGATCAACGGCAGAGTTTGGTGGCGACAGTTTGGTGTGCCATACTGTGCGGCGTGGTCCGTCCTACCCTCTGACGTCACTTGACTCTTAGAGCACCTGCCGCCACCAAACGCGGGCATGTCAGTTAGCGTCTCTTTAATTTGACTGGCGAGGACCTGCGGAACATCTCAAGCAAGAGATGTCCTCCACCAAATCAGTCCGAAGCTCCCATACGAACGCACCGGTTTTCATCGCATTATCGACGCACGCGGGTGGTCTTGCGTTCACGCACGCTGTAGCGTAAAAGCTGCCAACAACCACGGCATGGAGCGCTGCCAATATCCTCGGCTCCTCCCCGTCTGCGTGAGAACGTGTCTCCCCGGCTGCAGCAACCTCCCCCCCCCCCCCTCTTATGCAACCCATTAAGCTTCGCCCGACGGCTGTTTGATGACCCACTTCCACGGGCGGAGGTCGCTGCCCCCGCCGCCTCCCCCCCCCCCCCCCCGCCCCGGTCGCCGCCGCCGCCGCCGTGGTGAAAGGTACGGTCGCTGCAGCCTGGGATCGCACTCGTCGCTAGCCGATAATAGTACGGGGTGTCGCGGCGGCGGCGGCGGAGCAACGCCTCGTGTTCAGAGGGCTGAACGGCGGCCTGTGCCGGTTACCCGAGTACCCGAGTACCCGTGTACCGAAAGTGGGTGATGAGGGCAAGTGGAGGCGCGTGTGGTTACAGCCGTCAGAAACAGGCACGCCGACCTGTTGTCGGTGTCTGCGTCTGGGAGGCCTGCCAGTGGTCGACATTCTACTGACGGAGCGTCGCACCGGTTGAACATGGCGCTGGCAATACCAGCCTGTGCCGATGACGTCACGGACGGCTGGTTGGAGCAGGTTCTCCGACGTCGCCATGGCAACGAGTACAAGCTGACCAGCACCGAACAATCATCAATCGTCGGGACCCAGGCGGTCTTGTGCAGCGAGATGCGCTGTGTCTCGTGCCGGGGTCAGCTCGGGTCAAAGTCGATCACCGACCACCTGGTGGCCAAGCTGTTGCCGCGCGACCCCACGATGCGTTCCATGGTGACGTCGCTGAACATGCCGCAACGCGAAACGCCAGTGTACACGGACTTGCTACCGAAGCTGTCTGCATTCGAGCGGAGCCACGGTCGTGACGTCATCGCGGCCATGACCGTGACCTGTCTGCACGCGGCGATTAGCGCCGACGGCGATGACAGGCTCCGCTCCGTCATCCTGCTCGAGAATCTGCAGCCGGCCGGCTTCTGGACGCCCGGTCCGACGCAGCTGCCCGAGGACGCACTGCCAGAGGCCGTACGTCAGATGGCGCGACTGGCGGCGACATCTAACGTATGGCTCCGGCACTGCAACTTGCGCTCTCTACCGTACCTTTTCTCGACGCAGCTGGAAAGGGACCACCTAGCGCAACACTTTATCGGGATTGGCGTACAGAAGATAGAGACCAGGCTGCGTGAGCGCGGCCAACAAGCCCTGTTGCAGAAGCTGCAGCGCATGCAGGAGATCGCCAACGAGCTCATCAGCCGCGAGCTGCAGCCCCGAGACGACCACCTGCGCGTCATCACCCATGGTGACTTCCGCGACGGCAACCTCTTGCTGAAGCGGCTGCCGGTCGGCGGCTGGGACGTCCGGCTCATTGACTGGCAGGTGTCGATGCTGAGCCACCCGGTCGTCGACCTCGTCTACCTGCTGATGCTCTCCTTGCCGCGCGAGGTGATGGCGCGATGCGAGGCGGCGGCGCTGCGCACCTACTGCGCCGAGTTCGCTGCGTGCACCGCCGCGCTGGGCGCCGACGGCGGCCTCTCGCTGGAAAAGCTGAACGCCGACTTCCGTCGGGCGAAGCTACTTGGGCTGATGTGGTGCCTGAGTCTGGCCACCTTCTGGGACTGGGTGGCCGCTTGGCCCGACCACTGCATCGACATCGCCGAGGAGGTGGACCGGCTGGGTCTGCTGGACGGGCTCGTGGACCAGCAGCCGTCGGGGTCCGGATAGGCGCGCGTGCCGGGCTTGGCGAGGTGTTAGGCTCGACTAGACTTGACTTCGGCAGGTGGTGGGCGAGCGAGACTGGCGCGGTGTAATGAAACGCCAAGTGTTTCACCACATTTTCTCTGTATTTTAGTCTCGCACCGTCAGGGGCTGCAGCCCTTGACGGTGCACCTACACTCGACTGTGGCGGCGGCGCGCATCTGCCGCGCGGCCGGGGCCGGCCTGCGAACCTGACCACGTGCCGCGCCCCGTCCCAGCAGGGGCGCAGGACACATACAACTGCACTACGAACACCCCACCCTGATCCTAATGATCAACAAGTACACAATCGCACGGGCCTTCGCTCTCGTCCGCTCCGACGCGGCAACACTCGCTGCTCCACCGGCCTCGGGAGGTCAACCCGTCGCTACATCGGCCGCGGGAGACCGTTCCACCGCTCCACCGGTCGCGGGAGGCTGCTCCACCGCTCCACCGGCCGCGGGAGGCTGCTTCACCGCTCCACCTGGCGGCGCTCCGCTTCATCCTTCAGCTCCTGAGCTTCGAGAGCTGCCTCTGCCTCCGCCTGTTGCCGCGCCAGCTCCGCCTCTGCCTCCGCCGGTTGCCGCGCCAGCTCCGCCTGTCGCCGCACCAGCTCCGCCTCTGCCTCCGGCCATGGCCGGCCGGCTTGGGTGACACGGCAGCAGCCGCGCTCGCATCACACGCAGCTGCCGCTACCGGAGACTCCGACGCAGCCGGCAGTGCATCGACCCCGAACTGCACTGCATTCGACGCACTGACGGACACGCCCCGAAGCGCCCTCACGCCGTTCATTCCCAGAATGAACCCGAAATTCAGCGGCCTACTGGCAGTTACAAGCACCTCTATTCGGGCCGCACCCGACACTGTGCTCACAGTTACTTGTCCGGTACCCTCGCACGTGTAGCTGTCTCCACTTTCTCAAGCCAGTTCATTTCGCCGAAATAGCTTGTAATGAGACGCCAAGTGTTTCACCACATTTTCTCTGTATTTTAGTCTCGCACCGTCAGGGGCTGCAGCCCTTGACGGTGCACCTACACTCGACTGTGGCGGCGGCGTGCCTCTGTCGCGCGGCCGGGGCCGGCCTGCGAACCTGACCACGTGCCGCGCCCCGCCCAAGCAGGGGCGCAGGACACATACAAAGGCGCTACGAACACGTGGTTAAGCTGTGCGCCTGGGAGACCAGAAGTACGGGGTTCGATTCCGCACGGTATCGGCCCTTCCCGCCATGGCGAGAGGCAGGCGACGTCATATGGCCTTAGCAGCTGAGTGCATCGTGAAGCCTTAATGCCGACCATTTCGGGCTACGTAGATGGCGATTGGCACAGTAGAAAAGGACCGAGAGGCCAATCTTGTAAGGTTGCAATCACAGTCAAGGCACTACTGTGGTATCGAAATCAGCGCATTGAATCGATTTGCCTGCAGCTTGCTGAGAAGGCGCTAAAAGCCACTAACACACAATCACATTGATCACATGACTCGGAAGGCAGTCTGTAACATGTTGAAGACGCCCTTATGCCACTAGTGCATGGTTACATCAGTAGAAACACGACTCGTCGGTTGCAAGATGAACGCACGGGAACTAGACAGAGCATGGTCTGTCCTCCGGTGGGCGAAACTGTGATCGAGATGGGTATCGTGGGATGAGCGTGCGAGCGTGTTAAAATGCTGTCGTCTTTTCTGCTGTGATTAATGTGTCATATCACGAAAAACAACAAACCCGTTCTTAACCTCATTCTCGTGTCGTGCTGACGATCGTTGAATGTGATGCGTGTTGATGGATCGCTATGCCTAGTTTCGCCACGCAACGTCGGGTTAGAAGGGCCATGCAGGATACAGAGAGCTTAGAGAATGGAAACGTTACAGCAACTGCCAACGCGTCGACAAATCTAGAAAACTATGATAATATATAAACGTACCCAATGGCCCGTTTGAGCGCTGCCAGTACACTGCATAACATGGGCAGTGCGTCGTGCCACGGCTGCAGCAGGGCGATCAGTCAATCTGAGCAAGGTTCTGTGGCCTGGTCTCGGAACCTCGTGACCGTGTGTTGAATGGAACAGGTCAGGACACGTGACTCCGCCCGCCTATTGCAACCTGTAGCGGTTCATACTCCAAGCAAAGCAACCTGCGGCCTCACTCACGGGTGTAAGGGTACTTTGACCTGACCTGCGTGACCCCGTCCACGCAGAGCTGGGGGTAGTGTTCGGACCTGACCTGAGTGACCTCCATCCACGCAGAACTGAGACAGGACTCTGACCCGACCTGCGTGACCCCGCCCACGCGGAGATGGGACAGGACTCGGCCTGACCTGACTGACCCCCGCCCACGCAGAGCTGGGGGCAGTGCTCGGGCCTGACCTGGTACTGGTCGTGGTCGGTAACAAGGCTGACCTGAGGTCACAGAGAGCGGTGCCCGAGACCATGGCTCGCACTCTGGCCGCCGCCAGAGGAGCTCACTACTACGAGACCTCCGCCCAGCACAACTCCGGTAAGTCGGCAGCTTTCTCGACAGCCTTCTTTTGAACACGAAGGCCGAATGGTAAAGGTTGCCGCGTGGGTGCTGCGCATGCGTAAAGGTTGTGCATGCGTACTTGATGTTCACACACAGTGCAGAGAAGTCACCGCGCTTTCACAGAATAGCGTAAGGTAGACATGGGGCAGAGAATCAGAAGCAGCATCTGCCAACCATACAAAACGTGGCCCATGCAGTTTTACGACCCAAAACGAGCGAAAACAAGTGGACATTGACAATAACAGTGCCGGACTGCTACTGCTGTCGTGACGTGAAACTCTAGCCCCGGCCCGGCTCCACCGCGCCCTCCAAACGTCGCCGGCCCGACCCGCGTGGAAGACCCGGCTGTCATGGCGCCGGTGTCGTGACCCGTCGTGACCCCGGCGTCGGTGCCGCCACCAGGCGTCGACGACGTGTTCTACCACACGGCGTTGCAGCTGGGCCAGCGGCTGCAGTGCGCCGGCGGCGGCCCGTCCGCCGGCTGCGGCTACGGCTACGGCACGCTGAGCGTCGGCGGCTCCAGCTACCGCAGCGTCGACAGCGGCCTGCTGCGGCTCCACAGCGGCTCCTGCTGCGTCTGAGCCGGCTCCCCCGAGGCCCCTGCCGCGCCTCAGTTGGGCTCCGCTACTGCCCTGCGTCTGGCAGGGAGTGTGTGGAACGCCGCAAAGGCTGAGGAGCTCCTGACGAACGCGTGTGTCGAGGGGCGCTGCCAGGTTCGAGGAGCATTGCGTTTTAGGATTATACCCTGCTCGCCACTATATGCCATCACCGTAATGCCTGGGAAGCGCGCTGCTGGGAGATCACCGCACTGCCTCCCGACCGCGTCTGTGTTCACAATGTGTTGTTATCTGGTGATCGTATTCGTTTCTGAGAACCGCTTTAGTTTATTGAAGCTGTGCCTCGATAGTGCTTTTGTAGCGGTTGATGGTTATGTATCTCACTGTAGCCGCATCTTAGGATCGGTACATCATGCTAATGCGCGGGCCGCCGAGATGTTTGCCAGCTGGCGCATACGTTACTGGCTCATCTCACGGACAGCTAGATACAACTGCCCGACAAGGAGCGTAGTCCACGATCAACGGCTGTCATCATTGAACTGAACAAAGCCGTCGCAAGATAACGCGTGTTTTCTCTCACCAAGGACATGAATCCGAGTGATGACGGATAGCCAGGCAATCGAAACGCTCTTGCTCACGCTCAGTTATATTCATCTCGCGCGGCAACGTGCGGCACCAACCATGGCCCTGTGCTCCACGCACGTACGCACGCAAACACACACGATTTGGAATATCACGCGGACCAGCATGCAGTCCAGTTGTGTACGACCCTTCCCCTTCCCCTGGCCGCCGACCCCAACACGCCAGTACGCGCTTAGTGCAACCTCCCCAGTCTTATCACATGGTGAGCGACAGCGGCGACGGCGACGGCGGCAGCGGCGGCGAGGAGGCCTCCCTCGCCGCCTCTCTGTGTTCGTGTGTCACGCATCCACAGCGTCTTAGCCGCGCCGGCCGGACCCCAACGCAGCGCGAACGGGGCGGGTGGCGCGCTGACCGGCGCCTGGAGCGGCGACGGCCACGCCCCGCAGCTGACCTCGTCACGTGACAGCGCATGGCGCAGCTGTCCTCGTCACGCGCCGGGGCGTGGCGCCGCTGAAGCGAAGACGGGCCACCAAGCGGCGCGCGCGCGGTGCACATCGGCGTGACGGGCAAGAGCGGTGTCAACGGAAAGCGCGGGGCGCCAGGGGAAGTGCCAGTGCAGCCGCGGGGCCGGTTCCGCGCGGCGGAGGGCAGCAGCCGGAGTTGGCAGCCATCCCGTGAGGCGGCGGCTCTCCGCATATCGGGCGGGTGCGAGGCGCCCAGACCAGTCGAGGAACGCCGGCCCTGCCAGCTGACCCAGTGGTCAGCGAACGGGGGCGGAGACGTGGAGACTACGGCACGTGCGGAGATCGGCTCGAGCGGGGGGCGCCACTCCACACTGTCCACTACGTGAGCCTCCAGTCCACCGTGAACCTCCATCCAGCCTCCAGCCCACCTGTCCACCAGGGACCTCAGTGGACCTTCATGCCACTTCAGTGGGTTCTCACCAGCAGACGACGCGCCCATGGAGCGTTCCCCACCATTGTGCGACCCTCTCGATACCGCGGCCAGCACCACTCTGAACCCCTACACCCGTCCGCGGAACGCCCCCCCCCCCCCCTTGGAACTCCCTCGGGGCCCTGTACCCCCTGCAGCAGCCCCGACCCGGCCAGCATAGCCTCGGGGTCAGTCGCCGGGCGCGCCGCGACCGCGGCGGCCGCCGGTCGCACTCGCCAGCGTCACGCCCGTCACTGCCGTCACGTCACGTCACGGCACGTCTTCGCTCGTCACGCCGGAGCCCTTCGGTCCTGGCCTTGCTTCTGACGCGGCGATGGCACATGAAATAAGCAGGTCGCGGTGGTGCTGACGGCCGCTCGGTTTTCGTCTGTCTGGCTCCGTTTTCGCCAGTCGAACCTGCACCGCAGTGCGTTTTTCGAGTTCGTTCTCGACGCTGTCGTGTTGTTCGGTGTGATTACGCTCACGGGAGGTCCACGTCGACCTCTGCGCCCCCTCTTCCCGACCGACCTCACTTCTCCCCGGCCTTCGTTACTGCCTCAGCCCTCCTGCAAACGCAGACACGGGAGCCACCCGCTCCCGGCGGGTAAGACTATGAAGCCCCGCCTCGCGGCGCTCCGCTGTCCCGCCTCGCAGGATTCCCGCGTCCCTTTCACTGGCCCTGCCTCTCAACACTCCTGTCGTATATTCGAGGCACTTGATGCCTCTGTCTCGCAGCGCTCCCCTGCCTCGTCTCGCAGCACCTTTCCCCGGGCTTGACTCTCGACAACCTCCGGTGGGTGCCCCACGCCACTTCCATGGCTCGCCTTGCAGCACTCTCTTGCCGCGCCTCGCAGCGCTCCCCTGCCCCGTCTCGCCTCGCAGCACTCCCCTGTCCCGCCTCGTAGCACCTCCACGCCCTGCCTCGCAGCGCTCCCCCGCCCCGCCTCTCAGCACTTCTGTGCGCCGCCTCGCCGCCGCCCGCGCCTCAGGCGTCCAGGTCCCGGACGTAGAGCAGCTCCGACTTGCCGAGGCCGGCCTCGGCCAGCGTCGGTGGGTCCAGCTCGGCGCCCGGCCGGCAGGGCAGCACGCGGCGCGGGTAGTTCTGCGTGATCTCGAACCGCTCCGGCGAGTCCGGGTGGCAGAACACCACGTAGTAGAGCACCTGGGGGCCGGCGCACGGCCGTCACCGGCGGGACTAAGGGCGAGCGGGGCGGAACGGAGGGCGAGCGGGGCGGAGTGGAGGGCGAGTGAGGCGGAGTGGAGGGCGAGTGAGGCGGAGTGGAGGGCGAGTGAGGCGGAGTGGAGGGCGAGTGAGGCGGAGTGGAGGGCGAGCGGGGAGGAACGGAGAACGGGCAGGCGGAACGGAGGGCAAGCGGGGCGGAACGGAGGGCGAGCGGGGCGGAACGGAGAGCGAGCGGGGCGGAACGGAGGGCGAGCGGGGCGGAACGGAGGGCGAGCGGGGCGGAACGGAGGGCGAGCGGGGCGGAACGGAGGGCGAGCGGGGCGGAACGGAGGGCGAGCGGGGCGGAACGGAGGGCGAGCGGGGCGGAACGAAGGGTGAGTGGGGCGGAGTGGAGGGCGGAACGGAGGGCGGAGTGGAGGGCGGAACGGAGGGCGGAGTGGAGGGCGAGCGGGGCGGAACGGAGGGCGGACGGAGGGCGAGCGGGGCGGAACGGAGGGCGAGCGGGGCGGAACGGAGGGCGAGCGGGGCGGAACGGAGGGCGAGCGGGCGGAACGGAAGACGAGCAGGGCGGAGGGTTACGTGGGAGCGAGGCATCACGGGTGTAATGTATCGCGAGTGGCACAGACGGACGCCGCGAGGAACAGGCGGCCACGAGCGGCATAGGCGGTCCCGGGCGGCATAGACGATCGTAGAGAGCAAAGGATCATGGAGGCGCGGAGGATCAGGGAAACGACATGTCACGAGCGAGCAAGGCATGCCACACACGGCACACGAACCGATGAAAGACGGCACGGCTGTCTAGCGATCGCTCTGACCTACCAAGAACAAACATGCTTTCCATCCTAGACGCCTCAAAAATGACCGCCAGACCCATACCGTCGCAAGAAGATCTGAAGCGACACAACGCCACGGCGTTACACTACAGCGGGATCTTCGTCAGTGCCACGGACGTTACTTCATCCCTGAGGATTGCAAGTCGGGTGGTGGGCTTGGGCTCGCGCGATCGTTCCACACTGCCTGCGACCACACTGGCCCAGACAAACTCCCGATCACAGGAGGCGCCGAGCAGCCCCGGTCAGGTCATGACCTTGAACTGGATGAGTCCAGGCTGGATGACCCAACCCCGCCCTGAGCCCGCGGTCTTGTCAGGTGACCCGTGCTCATGGTCAGTTGGTGGGCTGGAATCAGCCCTCTGTCCGGTCAACAGGGCCACACATTACCTGTGTGGTCAGTCGGCCTGGCTTTCAGTTAGTGACCCAGACTGGCCTTGACCCAAAAACTGACCTGACCCTTACCGTAGAACCCGGCCCCGTCTCCGCCGGTGACGGGCGCGGCGGTAACCACGCCGACTCTTCCTGGCCTGACCCGCTATCCGGTGTGGGCCTGACCCCGTGACCCTGACCTGAACCCATAACCTGACCTGGCCCTGTGCCCTCCCCTGGACCCCATGACCTGACATTGCCACGTGACCCGACCATGACCCCGTGACCCGATCCTGTGGACCTACCCTTACCCCGCGACTCGACTCGGCCCCGTAACCCGACGCTGGCCCCGTGACCCGACCCTGACCACGTGACCCAACCCTGACCCTATAGGCCCGACCCTGCCCCGTTCCCTGCCCCTGCCCCTGCCACTTGCCACTTGCCACTTGCCCCCGTCCCCTACCCCTGGCCCTGCCACTTGCCCCTACCCCTGACCCTATCCCTGTCTCCGTTTCTGTCTCTGTCTCTGTCTCTGTCTCTGTCTCCGCCCCTGTCCCTGCCACCTGCTCCGCCCCGGCCCCGACCCGCCGCCGTCAGCCGTCAGCCCACCTTCAGCGAGTGGGCCGTGCTGAAGCGCCGCTCTATTCGCGAGCCGTCCGGCAGCTTGATGGAGATGCGCACGCAGTCGGGCCGGTCCAGAGCCGGCTCGTCCGGGATCTCCGAGGCCAGCTCGATCTTCTGACGCGCTATCTCCTGAACAGGGGTCACACCACGCACGTGACTCACACGCTGCACATAGCTGTTGCGGGCGAAACAGTGGTAATTATGAAGTGTCGATGGTGAGGTTGCAGAACGCGTCCAGTGGAAAGTGCGTGGTAAATCAATCGCCCGGCATTGCATTAACAAAAAGTTCGTCGGGACATCGATAAGAGCCTGTAACCATTATTGGAGAACACCGATGAAGCGCTCGGTAAAACGCTTCATCGATGTGACAATAGAATAACATATGTCGGCGAAACAAGTCCCTCAATGCGACGGGATGGTGTTTATCCTAAGCAGATCAGCCCACGCAGGGCACAGAGGCGAGCGCGTCCAACACCTAACTGTCGGCCAGCAAGCGAACTCGTCTCGGCCATACGACCGGCATTGTTTCCACGGGCAACAGAGCCGCCCCGGCTACGAGACGGGCGCATCGGAGACCGCCCACAGCGCGCCACCCGAGTACGGCAGCGGCACATCACTTCCGATCAGCCCCGAGATCGCATCTCCGACGTGTCCGACTGACAGGTTATATCCCGGGCAGTCCAGACGCGCTGGCCGCCATTGGGCGCGCCACACACGCGCAGTGTCGCGCGGTGACAAAGACTCGAGGGATTGCCAGGAGCGGCTTTTGGCCGTGAGCGAGTGTGTAGTCGTCTTCTTGCATAATGCGGTGCTCTTCTCAACGTTGCCGCCATGTCTCCTTTGCCGCATTATTTATGCTGCACACTACCACACAAAAATCACGGAATCTACCAAAAGTGGAGATTCCTTGACCTGAAGTCTACAGCGTACCCTACGGTGACGTACCTCCTTGTGCAGCTGCCGCTGTCGCTCCTGCTCGCACCTCTCCCGCTCCTCGCGCTCCAGGCGGTCCCGCTCCAGCTGGCGTCGGCGCTCTTTCTCCTGGTCAGCCCGCAGCGACTCCTCGTACGCCACGTCCTGCTGCTGCCTGCCGGGCGACGGCGGGGGAGCACGCGGCCGGTCAGGGCGGTGACCGGCCTCAGTCAGCGCCCAGGGCGGTGACCGGCCTCAGCCGGCGCCCAGGGCGGCAGACTGGACCGGTGGCTGGACGCATGTGCACGGCAGCACAGGCGCGGTGGCAGACTGTGTAGCTGGGCGTCAGTGCCGGTGGCGGACGGCGAGGAGCGCGGCTTCACACAGTACAGGCCTCACAGCACGCCTACCAGGCAGTAAGGACATGAGCGGGCAGGTGGGGGCGGCTCAGTCTGCCAAAGTGCCGCACTGACTCGCTTCAAGCCCGACCGCGTAGGAAGGCGTGTCAGGCTGCAGATAGGAAGGGATCACACATCGCCATCTGACCCACTTCTGCACACCTGAATGCAGGCCACACTGTCGAAATTGCACCAACTACAGCGTTCATATCTCCAGTTACGACAACATCCTAACAACATTACTTGCCGTCACTTCTGACAGGACTTGTTTTTGTTTGCAAGATCCCCACACACTACGACCCCGGCCTAAACAGTCCGACAGCACCTCCCCGGCGGCGCTCGGTCCGAGCGGCACTCAGCGAAGGGGCAGCGGCGGTCAGCGGTGGGTAACGGAGCCTGCCGGACCGCCGGCACCACCGCCGCCCCCGGCCGCGCACCTGATCTCCTGGTTGAGGTTGCGCTCGTTGCGCTCCAGCCGCGCCGCCACCAGCGACGCCTCGTTGTCGCTGACGATCCGCTGCAGCCTGGCGGCGCGCGGGCACAGTGAGCGCGCCGGCCCCGGCACCGCTCGCACGCGTCACGAGCGGCGCACGGCGGCGGCGCTTTGAACGGTGTGCGAAATCGCAACGTGAGCGTGATTGTGGCATACTCTGCAACAGGAAACCGTTACCAAATAGTTTTACTGCCAAACAACAACAAAAAAATCGTTTTTTGATACTTTTGGGGGGAAAGTAGGCAGGCACACTTATGAAAATGTCGCGCATCGTTCGCAATGACCGCGCCGTTCAAAGCGTCCTTAGCTTACTGCCCCATGCCACACTTGTTCATGATTGACCCGCGGGTTTGGAATCCAGTAGGCAGTTAATCACAGCACGCTTGAAGCTCGTGTTTTGGCCTGGTTGGAGCATAAACATTATGATAGTCGGCTCTTAGATGCACTCCCATAATGGACGTGACCAAAATGCAACGATATACCGCATGGTGCCACAATAAGCTTCATTACTTGAAGGGTAGGCGGCAAGTGCGACCTAAAGCCGGACCATTAAATGCCATGTTCAACAAACAAAGAATAGCGTGATGCACAAAGCCCCCCCCCCCCCCCCCCCCCCGCTTCCCTCCTGCGGACAAAAACAAATCATGCAACATTTCATGTGTGACATAAGCTTATATCAATTCGAAGTACGTCAACCCTACCAACAAACAGCAAAGTAGCCACAGCGGCCGGCGTGTCATAAAGCTCCAGCGACAACGCCAACAGACAGCTCGGGACGGAGCGGCCCGGGGTCCAGAGCCGACCACCCGCCGGCGGCCAAGCCGGCGCCGCCCCATACGGCCGTGAAGTGCCGCGGCTGGAGACGGCGGCCGCTCACCTCTGGAGGAAGACCTCCGGCGGGCAGGGACCCTCCAGTCGGCCCACCACCGTCATCCTGTCGGAGACGAGTGCGGCGTCACGGCGGGGGGTGGGACACATCACTACACTGGCATCGAAGAGTCTCGGCCCATAGGGGCTTCGAAACGCGTATTTCCTACAACTTTCGAGGTCACAGTTTCGCACAGCGAGTTTGACACGCAACGCCCGACACGCCTCCAGAGCAAATGAGAGGCAGCTCGTAGAAAGGAGCGGTGGATCTTTTTCATGTGAAACCAATAGTTCAAGTTGCTGCATCCCACGGCACCAATCGCATCATCTGCAGTCAACCACAGCCCCACGCTGGAACGTTCCCAAAACACAGAGCAGGTCGAGCTTACCGCCCTCCGGCGGACTCTACTGCAGCGCCTCAGAGCGCCACAGGGGCACGCGCCTCCCCGTGGCCACTCCGGGTGGATTTCGACCCCCGCGGCTGCCTACCCTGGATCAGGGACCTGACGCCATCGACGCTTTGGGTGCCAAGCGCGCCGGCCCTTCTGCGATTTCCGCTCGCAGCGCAAGCTGGGCCAAGCCAAGCGGCCGCCGCCGCTCCCCCCACCCTCCCTCACACTCACTTGTTCTCCTTGAGCACGATCACGGCCACGAACGGATAGCCGTTCTCCCGGAGCGCCTGCGACACGCGGTAGCCCTCGGGCCTGTCGACGGAGCAGGCCCAGCAGAGCAGCGCGCCGTCGGCGTACTGCGCCAGCGGCCGGTGGCGCAGCGTCTCGCGGCAAAACGCCGCCGTGTCCTGGTGGTCGGCGCAGTGCAGGTACACGGCCAGCGGACGCAGCTGCTGCTTGGCGGCAGCCAGCGCCTGGCTGTACGAGCAGCGCAGGAAGGCCGGGTGCTCCGAGCCGTACGCCGACTCGAACTCGGTGATGAAGCCGCTGACGTCCTCCACAGGGTCTGCAGGCGTGCCGACGGCCGTCAGCCGGTCAGCGGGTTGAGCCTTCTGGCCTTCTCGCGCTGATTTATGTCTAACAGCTGAAAATACCCGGCCCTCGACAGCCGGCTCGCTAAACGGGAGGCGGGGGCAGGGAAGGTAGGTCAGGGATCGGGGCTTGGACGTTTGTCCAAAGGGGGATAAAGGTTCTTTCTGGGTCCTCGTTAGCAGCCCTCGACTGAACCGGGTATTGCATGGCCTCCTCAGCCGACCCCTGCACAGCCATGCCTCACCGGTACCATCCCGTCCGATTATTTACTTCGCATCCCCTTTCCAGCCCCTCAGGACCTGGCCTCGCCATGTGCCACCGCACCAGGCGCTCGCCAACGGTGTCACCCTCTCCCGCGTCTCCGGCCGCGCCTACCTTCCCGCGTCCCTGGCCGCGCCTCCCTCTCCCGCGTTCTTGGCCGTGCCCCCCTCTCCCGCGTCCCTGGCGGCGCCCCCCTCTCCCGTGTCCGCGGCCGCGCCTCCCTCTCCCGCGTCCTTGGCCGTGCCTCTTTCCCGGTCCTGGCGCCTCCCTCTCCCGGTCCTGCCGTGCTCCCTTCCCCGTCCCTGGCGGCGCTCCCTCTTCCCGCGTCCCTGGCCACCCCTCTCCGTGTCCTGGTTCCGCCTCCCTCTCCCGCGTCCCTGGCCGCGCCTCCCTCTCCCGCGTCCGCGGCCGCGCCCTCCCTTCCCGCGTCCTGGCCGTGCTCTCCTCCCGCGTCCCTGGCCGCGCTCCCTTTCCCGCGTCCCTGGCCGCAGCTTCCTCTCCAGCGTCCCTGGCCGCGCCTCATTCTTCCGGATACCTGGCCGCGCCTCCCTCTCCTGCATCCGTGGCCGCACTTCCCCTGCTCTGTCTGCGGGCTCTGGCTGGCCTCGCCGCCGCCGCCGCCGCCGTACTGACCGTGTGGCCCGCCGCCCCGGATGATGCTCAGGCAGATGTTGATGATGCCGCTGAGAGTCGACATGATGTAGCGCAGCGGCAGCGTCGCCAGGCTGAAGAGCCAGCTGAACAGACCGCCCTCGCCGGCCGGCACCACCGCGTCGGTCGGCTGTGTGCAGATGAAGGTGATGATGGCGGCGACCACGATGATAATCGTGATAACTTTGATGACAGCGAGGATGATTTGTTTGTTGTTGAGTGTAACGAGTTTCATGGTTGTTTTCTGGTTCCAAGGGTTACCTAGCTGTATGGGTGTGCCTGTAGCTGCAGGGTCATTTAATTCCCACAATGGTAATGGCGTCTGTGTCCATTATAAGCATTATGAGAATGGGACTGAGAATGTGTAGTGGAAATGTTTATGGTAATAGTTTGCATGGGTGTGACCATGATGATTTGAGTAAAATGTCGTGCCTATGTCGGAGGTCATTTTGCACCAATGGGGGCCTCTGATATTAAGGGAAAGGATAAATCAGGGATAAAGTCAATAATCAGGATGAATTAGGATAAGATAAGTGTGACCTGAAATCTGGAGACCACAGCCAGACATGAAAATGACATTTAAATAGGAAACCATGAAAAAACGTGCATTCTATGGGCAAAACCAGAAGTGTCAAAGTTCTGTCTTGTAAGATTTGGGGGACATATCCCCCAGTGATAGCACCCATGACAATTTCGAGCATCAGAGCACAAATGCTCACTAACACAGCAATCAGGGATCACACAGGCCTCACAGAAATGTCTGCGGTGGCGGCCGAGGAAAGCAAAGCAATGTTCGTCGACGAACACACTGTTTCCATAGTACCCAGAAAGCAGACCAACACACACAAAACCATCGCCGAATCACCTCCATACCATACTGTGCGAAATTCCGTGCCACAACCACAGCCCCACGCACTGCGCTAATACCACGGCCAGACACTACACACTCCAGACTGGCTGCAGGTGGCTACACAGCCATCAGCCCGACCGGCCAGCGCGTACCCGTCGTGGCCGGGCCGGCCGGTCCGTCTCGGCGCTGGGCATGTTGAGCGCGCTGCGCGCCGCCGCGTCCAGGTTCCAGTCGTGCTCCTCCAGCAGGCCGCGGCACCATTCAATCCGATCTGCCCCAGTCAGGTCCTGCCGCGCAACAGGGCCGGTTACACACCGGCGGACGCGGTGGTCACTAATCTTGGGGGGAAATGATAAATCAGGGTAAAAGGTGTGATCTGGAATCTGGAGACCACAGCCCAGCATGAAAATGACATTTAAATGGTAACCCATGAAAAAATGTGCACTCTATGGGCAAAACCAACATTGCTGGCAGCTGCAGCTGCCAGAGATATGAAAGCAGGTCCCAAATGCTGCTGGTGTGGCAAACACCAGGGTTTGAAAAATGTATGGCCATTTTATTGGCTAACAGGCTAGTTGCATATTTGACTAAACAGTTCTCAGCACAAAAACAAGCTATTTAACATTTTGCTCAGCAAACAGTTTGAACCATAGAAAAGTTAAGTAAGCCAGCATTTCTTGAAGTCCTTGAAATGAACCATTGCTGCGACAAAAAGCAGCATGGGACTTCTTGGTTGCACCTTCCAACATCTAAAACATTTCCCTAAGGTAAAAAAATGCTCAAGTGGACTGCCATTATCACAGGCAGTTTTGTTTTTCATAACTCAGGCAGATACAGACAATATTATTAGAGGGGCATCATAAAATCTATTCAAAGACATTAGGTGCAGCTGAAAGAGAGCTGAGCTGTTGTCGCCACTTTGCATATCATATTGTCAAAAACACTTTCTTCAGCCATGATTCATAATGACTGGAGAAAACATAAAAATGAGTTATTCACAAAATGTGTCAAAGATAAATCAGAAAACAGGGCATGATGTTCAAAGAAACCAGCCTCATACAGAACATCTTAAATTGAGAGAGGCTTTTGATAAGGTTCCCCACAAGTTTTTCAATCCAACTTAGGTAACACAGTATTTATAGCAGGATTGCAAGCTAGAAAAGGTGGTGTTGGTAATTTGCACATTGACATTGGCTGCCTACTTTTTTAGATATGCATATACCTATGATAGCAATTTTGGTTTTGAACTCATACTCAACAACTATGGCTGTAAAATTGAGCAGAAAAAGCATAGCCGGGATTTGCACTGTGGCTGTTTGTTGCACCTATGCTCTATTATGTCTTCATAGTATCATGTACCTGAAACTGAAGAAGCATCTCATGCTGTGCCTCTGTGATGTCCCCAAACATTGCTTCCTCAGGGTGGTTATTGTCTTCCATGCTTCCTGGAAATAAATGGTAACAGGATTTGAGTGTCAGCTAGTCTGAAATATGAGATGATAACATCTCCACACAACTTTCAGAAAATGACCATTAAACTACAAACACTAATTTTTCATGCTCAAACACCACTACAAATTATATCATACCTGCAGAGACATTTATATTCATGAGCTGAATCTAAGAGATTTCTAAGAGTGTGTGTTGACATGATACCACATTTTGCATGGAAATAATGCATGCTTCATACAGTTCAGAAAGTAGTGTCAGCAACAAAACACATCAAAAGGCTAACAACACGCAGCAACTACAACAGCAAGCAAAAGGTTAACAATAACTATTGGTTGGTGCAGCAAACAGGGAATTCCTTTCAACAGCATAGTCACTTAAAATGGTGTACAAGCTTCCCATATGAAGGAACTTACAACACTTCCTGCAACACACAAGTCAACAAATGATTAACCATACTCCTACATGAAATACCATGCAACAGAACAGTAATCTCGCCCAGCCAACATTTTTTAAAAAATATTCCTGGTTTCCAGTAAATTTTGCACGCTATCCAAAGTGATTTAAGTGTTCCAAACAACCTCTGCCTATGACAATTTTATTCACAGCAAAAATATATTAGGTACCTTTTCAACGGAATCCTTAAGTGATCACCAGTAAAATTCACAGAGAATGTTAAAACTACAGAATGTCGCAACTCACTGGCAAATAATCAAACATGTATACCACTATTACAACAGCCAAATCTCAGTTCCTGTAGGACACTCAACCACCCTGCCTAAGAGCTCCTAAACGAGCAAAATTGTATTTTCCAACACATTTGTTTACGTTTTTCTGACAGCATTCACACGTTTGCTTCCAATTCGATGTTAATGGCTTTTCCTTACTAGAGTAAAAATCATCTTTCAAAAGAATAAAAATAATTATGAGGTAAAAGCATATTTCACTTCAAATATAGCTGAGAAAATGCAATTTATCTTATTATTGGATTAGTTAGAACCGTTTCCGCTAGGGTTGCCAGTCCCATCACGGAAGCCAAGGCTGGCATGCGATGAGCTCGTGGTGCGGGGTTTGTGTAAGGTAGGAGTAATAAATGCTGTTACAGTTGAAGCCTGTGCGTGATTTGGGAAGCAGTGCCTCGAAGTGGGACGCGTGTTAAACTTGGGTTGCGCGACACTGTCTTTGACCGACATGGATGAAGGTGTTTCCAAGAAACGTAAGCTTCGCGATCTTCAGGGGGAATCATCTCGTGTTTCGCGTAGCGGATCTTCCGCGTTAAATCTATCAGTGGGGGCGAAAAGACGCCGAGCAAATGGGACTTTGCTATCTAACCCGTCAACGCTGAACCACGAGAACGACGCAACAAATATTTGCCACGGGAATCTTAGCCCACACTGCGATTCAAACAAATTCAAACTGATCAACTACGAGCAGAGAAAGCTAGACTTTCACCAAATTGAAGAGGACCATAACGTGACGGATCAGACTTCCGCCTGGCTGAAACTGGACTGCGACGGAGCTGATCGAGAACTTGGGCGAGACCAATGGGACCTCAACTCAACCAATCCAAATCTCGACCAAGATGACCGACATCGCTCTTCAGGAACCTCAGACCGCCACCAAACGTCCCCGAAACCGTCGCTCGCCCCAGGCCCGCAGCCCGAATCGACCGCCTCCGCCGTGCTTAGCATCGAACTGGCGATGATTTCCCAGTTGCCGGCCGCCGAGTTCGTAGGCGGCAAAGTGACACACGTCTACAACCCACTGGCCTACGCCCACGCACCACACGCCGACTACGTGCGCCGCTACGTCGACCGCGGCGCGCGCTGCCTGCTGGTCGGCATGAACCCCGGGCCGTGGGGCATGTCGCAGACGGGCGTGCCGTTCGGCGAGGTGGCGGCCGTGCGTGACTGGCTCGGGGTCGAGGGGCAGGTGCTGCCACCTGCCGGTGAACATCCGAAGCGACCTGTCACCGGCCTGCTGTGCCCCAGGAGCGAGGTCAGTGGGCATGTGGTTTGGTGAAGGCGGGGCAGGGTCTGATTCCTGCTGTGGGAAACTTCCGTCCGACGGACTCGTCATTGTCCAACGGCGGTGTTCACGATGGACAGAGGGGATTTTACGTGCTTGGGCAACTAATCAAATGCAACAAAAGATCAGTTTGTGCTTGTTAAGTGTTGGCGTGAAACCGCCAACAGTTGAAGTTTGACTGTGTTCCTCGCGGTGTGATGTATTTGCTCTTTATCGACTTGTCAGCATTTCTTGAGTTCTCTCCTCATCAAGTAATGTCTACATGTTGGGCCTCAATGGTCATCCTTTTGGGTCACCTCAACCCCAGCTGGCACCCTTGACCCCTCCCTGCTCTTAACCCCTTCCTGTCCCTGACCCGTCCTCACCTTGGAACCATCCCCTCCACTGACCTTTTCACTGCCCCTGAACCTCCCTACTCCTAACCCCTCTTCACCCTTGACCCATCCCTGCCCCTGGACCATCTCTGCCCATGACCCCGTCCCCACCCCTGGCTCATCTCCATCTCTTATCCCTCCCCACCCCTGACTCCTCCCTGCCCCTGCTTCTGACCCTTCCCTGCTCCTGGCCCCTCCCTGGCCCGACCCCTCTCACTCCTGACTCCTCCCTGCCCCTGACCTCTCCCAACTCCTTACCCCTCCCCGCCCCTGAACCCTCCCTGCTCCCGACCCTGAACTCTCCGCACTCCTTACTCCTCCCTGCCCTTGAACCATCCCTGCCCCTGGCCCCTCCCTGCCTCTGACCCCCTCCCAGCCCCTGATCCCTCCCCACCCCTGACCGACCCTTTTATGCCCTTGACCCCTCCCGCCCTTCAGGTCAGCGGGCAGCGCTTCTGGGGGCTGTGGCGCGACCTGTGTGGCACGCCGGACCGCTTCTTCCAAAACGCGTTTGTGTACAACTTCTGCCCGCTGGCGTTCATGGAGCGCCAGGGAAAGAACGTGACTCCCAACAATCTGCGCCTGCCTCTGAGGAAGAGGATAGAGGCCGTGTGCGGTGATGCCTTGGCGCGAGTTGTGCAGGTGAGCCGGGTAGATGTCGCTTGCGGGCCCGCCCCAGCACGGCTCGCATGGGACAGATGGGCTGTGGATCCGTATTTACCGTGCTGCACTCGCTATGCACAGGCATTGGGCCACTCGGTCTGGCCAGGTAGGCAGTTGATGTGTGTTCGCCTCACTGTCTGTGGTGAAACATGTGGCGAGCGCGCCACATGCAGCGCATCACCGACACCGAGATGGCCGTGGGCGGGAGGCCAGCCTGCGACACTTGGCTGCAACATCGGGGCGCGGGGCACCCCGGGCAGCACACCTGCGACGCTCGGTTCCCATCCTCGCCGCCAGGTGCTGCGGGTAGAGAGGGTCTCGTTCCTCGCCGCCAGGTGCTGCAGGTAGACGGTTCTCGTCCTTGTCCCCAGGTGCTGCGGGTGGAGACGATCCCGTTCCTCGCCGCCAGGTACTGCAGGTAGAGAAGGTTCCCGTCCTCGCCGTCAGGTACTGTGGGTAGAGACGATCCCGTTCCTTGCCACCAGGTGCTGCGGGTAGAGACGGTGATCGGGGTAGGCAAGTACGCCGAAGAGCGGGCCAGGGAGGCACTGCGGTCGGCCCAGCTGGACAGCGTCCGCGTGTTCCCACTGCTGCACCCCAGTCCAGCTAACCCACAGGTGAGCCGAGGACGGCCGAGGCTCTGCACCCAGCGGCGGAGCGGGACGGAGGGTGCGTGACGGGTAGTGCTCGTGCGAGCATGGCACCAATGACGGGCTGTGGGATGGGATATCGCAGACATTTCGCGGCGAAAGCTGAATGTGCCGCAATGCTCGGCACGGTCCGCCCAAGCTTGGTCCCGGGTAACACCGCTGAGTTCATTGGGAAAACCTCGTCTCCGCCGCCAGCAACACGTCGGATGCGCGTACTGCTTTGTGTGCCTGTTGGGATCAAGCGTTACACGCTGGCACCAATCCGAGAATTGTGTGTTTTCCACGCGCGGTCCGTGCTGCTCTCGGCGTACCAGCTCGCGCTGTCTAGAACTCACCAGCTGCGCCCGACCAACAGGCAAACAGGGATTGGAAAGGCGTGGCCACCAGACAGCTGAAAGAGGCCGGCCTGCTCCAGCTGCTGACGTCATCAGGCTGACGTCTTCAGACAGCTGGCTGAGGCCGGCCTACCGTGGCTGCTGACGTCACCAAACCGACGTCACCAGAGAGCTGGCCGAGGCCGGCCTGCTCCAGCTGCTGACGTCACCTGGCTGACGTCACCAGGAGCTGGCTGAGGCTGGCCTACCGTGGCTGCTGATGTCACCAAACCGACGTCACCAGAGAGCTGGCCGAGGCCGGCCTGCCGTGGCTGCTGACGTCACCAGACAGCTGGCCGAGGCCGCAGCGAACGTAGGTCGCAGCGAATGTGACACTCCCGTGACCAATGTGCGCGAACCGCGGGTGGAGCAAGCGTTCTGCACACGAACGTGATCGATACCAGCCGCTGTGAAGTGCAGCCGATCTGGATATGCTCCCAGTGAACGAGCCCACGCGATTGCACCACGCGCCATCTCACGTGTTACTCAATCGCCATGTCAGCGTTGCTCAGATTGGCCCGCCGCAGCGCTGTGACTACCAGGTGATCGTTATACATTCCTCGCTCCTAAATCACGCCCGTCACAGACCCGTCGAAAAGGCCAGCGCGAATGGCACGCGATCGGGCGGGCAGCCAGGTGGCTGGCGCCGTGCCACGGTCACGGGCTCGGGGGCGCAGGCGGCCGACGTGGGCCGGCCTTCAGATGGCCCAGGCAGTCCGTGCGACCCGAGCGCCCGCCGGCGGTGGCGTGCGGACCGCCGCTGCACGCCGCTGGTGGGCGAGCGCGACTGGAGATGGGATTTGGAACTAGCGCAACGGCCGTGGAATCGCAGAGTTGAGTTGTTCCTGTGAACAACGGTGGGGTGCGGAGGTGCGGTGGTCACCTGCCATGGTTGCCAGACGGTCGTGAGGTGGTTGTCGGAAGGGTGACGTCACGACGCCGACACGCCGCCTCGTCGACGACCGTTTATTAGACAAACCTGCAATTAAGGAACATCGGCGGCACGGTAACACAACCGGGGAAAACCTGAGAAAACGTGAGTCTTGCTAGTAACAAATTGCACAACTGGCGGCCCGAGACTAGACCGGAGGCTGGCTACGCAGATTCAAACACGGCGTGAAACGCGACACACAGTTCCGCTTGGGAGTCGTTGTGGCCGCGAACAGGCCGAAAGGGGCAACAACGCATGCTGGGACCTATTCGGAAATACGCACGCGAGAACGTGCGTCCGTTACAGTCCTTGGCGCGCCTAAGGTCTACTAAGGGTCGCCAGTTTGTAAACATTGCGAAGACGCAACCCGTCAAGTAAATGTCATTTTCCCCACTGCAGGGAGTGAAAACTTAGCTGCCAGTACGCCAATCAAGTAACTACAAACATATTATGCAAAACGAGTCATGGTAGTGCCCCATGATGAGGGCTCCGAAAGCATTGCGAGTACAACGTCCCTGACAACAAAAGCGTTACGGGTTGGACATTAACGTCAGCAGTTCTACATTTCCTGCACATTGAACAATAATAGCTCTGGCAATACGTGTCGAGCCGGCAGGCAAAATAGGTCAGGAACGGCACTAGGAACTACGAGCAATTGGCAAGGATCACATCACCACAAGCCGGGCGTAATGCCACTGGCTCCGTCCCGCACAGACAAGCTACAGCCACAACAAGCCGAATCGGCCGGATTCCACTAGAACATTCCCAGGGGCGCGTCCGGGGATCCCCCACCCCCCTCCGACGCCACCCTCCGCACAACCACAAGTCGTCTTCGAATCGCATCACGGGGAGCAAAACCCGGCTCCCGCACCGCAGCCCCCAACAGCAGCAGCGCCGACAACCGGTACGTGCACCCGACTTTGCCTGGGCTCTGCCACCGGCTCTACACGCCGCACCCGGACGTCAGCTAACAACGACTACGGACAACCGGTTCTGCCGGCCGCCGGCGTCACGCGCCGCGCCTAGGCGTACATGACGCGCATGGTGTTGGTGAAGCCGGCGCCCGCCTGCCAGCCGGTGATGACGACCACCGGGTCGCCCTCCGCCACCAGGTGGTGCGCCTTGCCGAAGTCGACGGCGTACTGCACGCGCTGCTCGACGTCCTGCAGCCAGTCGGCCACGCGCTCGGCCGTGTGCACCAGCGGGAAGATGCCGCGGTACAGGTGGCACTGGCGCGCCACCTGCGGGAACCGCGTCACCGCGAAGATCGGGCACTGGGGCCGGAACCTGCCGGCCGACGGCGCCGCGGTCAGCCGCCTCCCCCATCATGACGTCACGGTAATGGTACACTGCCATATAGCCGCGTACAAATATCACTTTCATGCCTCATCGCATGCACATACATCGCACGCAGCATGCGAAGTGATGCTGGTAAATTGACGGCGTCCCAAACTGACGCCACTAACGTCATCACTAACTGAAGCCGTGGAAGTTCCCTCGTGGAAGCTCCCGTGGCGCGGATTGGATCCCAATGTTTAGCATCCGGATCCAACCCAACGATCACCCTGAAGTAGTGACAACAACGGACACCAGGAGGGCGACCAATGACGGCATGAAACGAAAGATGCCAAACAATTGGTCACGAGCCAGAGGCCGTGACAATGACTACTTGAAGCGAGAAACCCCATTTGATTCACAAACAGCCCAGCGGGACTTTTTATTACGAGCATTTACGGGACTTTTGGTTCATAAACAGCCAAACGCGACTTTTTTGGCACAGTGAAGCATTTTAGCAAGATTATTAGCTGTTACGTGACAACAAATTCAACGGCATTACACATGGCTACTGGGCGATAGCATGTTTTTGATACTTTATGCTAATATCTGCCCACATCTTTCTCCGTATGTTGAGTAGGTTTAAATTTTTCAGCAAGCCAGAAGTTTTTCTCGGTTTTGCAGCATTCTGGCCATTCGTTCCCTTTCAGTTGAGTACTGGCCTTCGCAGCACGCATTACCGCCATACTTGTATGACGCAATACACGCATTGCACTACACATTTCTTGCCAATTTCTATCCCCTTTCTACCCGGTTACACGCCGATCACGCTGGACGAAACTTCCTACCCCAGGGTACACTGCACCAAAGGCGACGTCCCAATAAGGTAAAGCCGGTTTGGCACCTTATCGAGCAAGAGGTGCGAACCACAGGCGAGCGTGTTGCTTGTCATGCGTGAAAGTCGACAGTGTTCCATTTAAATGTTTTAGAACATTTACAATCACACCTGAGGGCAACATTACGCTGTCCAAGCCACCTCCTCCCCGTGCTGCAATCCGCTTATGTTCCATCACCCGTCCATACGTACAAAATATACGGAAGGTCCCTATCGCAAGAAGGGCGCATGCCAGGACCTCCTCCCAATACATACAACAATACAAGGACAAGTAAGACCTCTCCCCAAGCAACTTCCCCCTCCCCCCCCCCCCAAGCAACCCTTTCCTCCCAAGTGACCCTTTCCTCCTTTCCTCCCTCCTCAAGTAAAAAGCACGGCAAAACTCGCTCCCAAAGCCGAAGCGGCAAGCGCCCGCCGGCACTTACTTGGACAGCATGTGCGCCGACTTGCCCGTGGTGGTGAGCACGACGATAGCCGCCGCATGCATCTTCAGCGAGGCGCCGACGGCCGCCAGCGCCACCGACGTGACGCGGTCGGACACGTCCACCCGGCCTGACATGTCCGTGTAGAAGCTGTTGTGCCAGACGGTGGCCTCCGCCTCGCGGCAGACGCGGCTCATCATGGAGACGCACTGCAGCGGGAAGTCGCCCTTGGCCGTCTCGCCCGAGAGCATGACGCAGTCGCTGCCGTCCAGCACGGCGTTGGCCACGTCGGAGACCTCGGCGCGCGTGGGGCGCGGCTTCTTCACCATCGACTCCAGCATCTGCGTGGCGCAGATGACCGGCTTGCCGGCGATGTTGCAGCGCGTGATGAGCGCCTTCTGCGCGACGAACACCTTCTCGGCGGGTATTTCGATGCCCATGTCGCCGCGCGCGACCATCACGCCGTCGGACGCCGCGATGATCTCGTTCATGTTACGGATGCCCTGGTGGTTCTCGATCTTGGAGATGATCTTGATGTCGCGACCCTTCTCGCCGAGTACGTCGCGGATCTCACGCACGCCGGCCGCGTTGCGGATGAACGAGGCGAACACCATGTCGACGCCCTGCTCGACGCCCAGCAGCAGATCGCCGCGGTCCTTCTCCGACACGGCCGGCAGGTCAACCGGCGTGCCCGGCAGGTTGATGCCCTTCTTCGAGCCCAGCATGCCGCCGTTCTCGATCTCGCAGATGACGAAGTCGGCGCCGATCTCGCGCGCCACCAGCGAGATCAACCCGTCGTCGACGAACACCCTGCTGCCCGGCTGCAGCACCTTCGTGATGTTGACGTAGTCGACGTACAGCACGTCCTTGCTGCACTTGTCGGCATTCGCCTTGTCGGTGGTCAGCTTGATCGTCTCGCCGGTGACCAGCTCCACCTCGGCCGACGCACCGCCCTCCAGCAGCCCGGTCCTGATCTCCGGGCCCTTCGTGTCGAGCGCGATCCCGATGGGCACCGGGCGGCCCGCCTTCTGGCTGCACACCTCACACGCGCGCCGCACGTTCGCCATCGTCTCGGCGTGGTACTCGTGCGTGCCGTGCGAGAAGTTCATGCGCGCGATGTTCATGCCGGTCTCCATCAGCTGGACCAGCTTCTCCACCGACCGCGTGACCGGCCCGATGGTGCAGATGATGCCCGTCTTGCGCACCATGCCCGGCTCCGAGTCGATGTCGAGCGCGGCCGTGTGCTCGAGCAGGCTGTGCGCACGCGCCGCCTTCGCCTGCATGCCCGGCACCGACGACATGGCAGCGATGGCGAGGGGCTCGGCTCTGCGGGCGGTGGCGGCATGGCTAGCGTGGCAAGGTTTCCCATGGTTAGGAAACATTTTGTAGGGTACAAATGATGTAGCTGAGGACAATAATATTTTCCACCACAGATATCAGAATATTGTGAGGCAATTTCCACATGTAAGTGCTTGACCTAGGGTCACAAAAATGTGCGTCTTGATAAGAATTGACTCATGGACTGTGCTAATGAAATTTGAGTCATCCATCTATAAGCTGAATTTTTCACTTGTATCACATGCTGTGTCAAATTTAAAAAGCTCCTCATCCCAATGTGTGTCATTAAGCATCATTCAAATGGATTATTCCCAGCAGATACTATTTGCTTAGAGCTTACATTTGCATGCTGGCTGTTGCCAATTCCCCAATCAGATGTTTCTGCTTAGTTATATATCCCTGGGTGCTGTCAAATATCCATAGTGCAGAGTGCTAGCCACACACAGAAGTAAGATCAAATGACAGGACAAACATGGCTCATGATAAGTAGCATTTTCCTTCCCTGACTGGTGCAGATATAAATGTTTTCCACAGAGTTTTTTCTGATCACAGCATCCTTTAAAATTTTAGCAAAATCACCTTCTTGCCAGCTTCATCCCATAGGCATCAGACTGAACCCACAACATTGTTTAACATGTGATTTAGATTACCTGCCTAGTTTGACTAGCATAAACCATTCCAGATATCTGCTGCAATGCCAACACTGCCCTTGGCTGGTTCTGTGAACCAGAATGTCTAAAAATTGAGATTGACTTTGCCTCTGAAAATTAGCTATGTGACATAATGTGTGCACATATGCTGTGCTACAGAAAAAGAAAACAAAGTAGAATTAAGGTAACCTTAACCCAGCCCAGAGAAAGCACTCACTGTGCCTGAAACCTACAATACATGGGTAAGTTAACCCTGTGCTCTAAGCATTAAACTCAGGTCATGCAAACAAACTAATTTTTCATTTTTGGGGAAGATGTTTTTGGTGGATGTTTTCCTGAAATTCCTTTCATAACAACATTCCTTGCAAAAAGTGGCTATTTCTGAGATCGGTAGTGAAGGTGTACCAAACTCTGAGCACTTGGATTTGCAGCATACATGCCATAATATTGTTCCCACAACGTCGTTGCCACGCTGGATATGCCCGGCATAACGTGTACGTTTTGTAGTCCGCCTTCCTACCGGCTTGCCAGAAGTTTCGGCGACCTGCAGGCTGGGCAATGAAAACATTATATACACACGTTGCTCCCTACCAAGAAAAAATACAAGGTACGCACCTGACGAGGGACGAGAAAGCAGAACCACACCCCGCACTCCAAATCGTGCGGGAACAAAAGTCTGTCCACCACGCGCCTACGCCACCCACATTAGATGGGTCGAGAAGGATCGAACGGGAAGATGTGTAGCGATAAGGTTTGTTTCATATCAAGAGCGCCATAAACGTAAAATAAAATCTGGAACGAGAAAAATTATTAATATTTTAGTCTTTGTTTAAGAATCAGATATTTGACTCATGTACGACAAATTTCTTTCGAATTCTTAGCGAAGTAATTCATCCTGGTATTTAGTAGAATTTAAGCGGCTTACTTTGAGAGTTTGATAATATAAGTATGGCAAGTATGGCCAGGGGCACTCAAGCAGGATGCCCGCCCCCCCCCCCCCACTTTAATGGACCCTGCTGGTGGGGTATTGTGGGTCACCTCACTCAGGGTCCCAGGGGTTCTACGGGGTCTGACAGGAGTGACAGCAACACAGCGACCTCAGTCACTGGGGATGGATCCATGGATCCGCACACTCAAGCTCAGGCTGATGCTGGTTCCTCCAGTCCACAATGACTGCATAATGCTCGTCAGCGCAGGGGTAGGCAAGATCTGGAGATATTGTACACCAACGCAGACCAGTTCCTCAGTACAAGGTGTGATTTATGTATGCTTATTTCTGACCATAAGCCAGATATCATGCTGTTGATTGAGGCCCTTCCCAAAGCCCAGAAGTTTCCTATTGCGCCATCTCTCCTATCAATTCCCGGGTACACCCTGTACACTAGAGGCATATGTGTCTGTGTCCAACTTACTAAATGCAGCTGAGCGCTCATTTGGGTCATGTCCTCTGGAGCAAGTTTGGCTGAAGATGGCCTTGAGTGAGAAGGGTGCCCTGTTACCTGGCTGCATATACAGAAGTTCATCAGGCAACATCCAAGACAGTGTGGGTCAACTGGAAGACCGTCAGAGAGCGTGCAGAGACCAGTTTTCTGACTTCATGGTTTTAGGTGACTTTAACTTGCTTCAGGTTGACTGGGCAACAGAGCAGTCGTCAGCTCCAGAGAGTCACCCAACCCACTCACTGATAGACACCATTCAGGGCTGTTTCTTGTTCCAGCATGTCCAGCAGCCAACACACTACCGGGTTGGTGAAGTTCCTAGTGTTTTTTACCTCATTTTCACAACTGAAGAGGGCATGGGGAGCCAAATCAAATACCTGCCTGGGCTAGGTAACAGTGACCATGTGGTAGTCAGGTACACTGTGGTCTGCTACTCTGGGCTACAAACTCCTCGTCCCAGCCAGCTGACACACACAAATTATGAGTACCTGGCTGACACCCCCAGGCCAGTGGACTGGTCCCTGATGAAGAGCCTCAGCCTCGAAGATGCTTACAATTTCTTCAAGGAAAGAATCGTTAGGGCCAGTGAGGTTTGCTCTGTCAGGAGAAGGACTAAACCTTAGAAGAACTTATACATGAACCCAAGGGCCATGCAGCTAAAGAAGACTAAGGAAAGACTATGGCGAACGTACACGCGGACTCAGGATGTTCTGGACCATGCCAGGGTTGTGCGTTGTCGCAATAACCTTCGGAAGTTGACCAGAAACCTTCGGAAAGAGTATGAGATTAAATTAGTAGCAGACCTCAAAAGAGACCTGTGATGTGATGAACGGAGGCGTGTTATGTATGTATAGCACAGTACATGTTGTGCGGCCCAGAACGGGGTCAGCGGCCGTCGCGGAGCCGGCGCCAGCCCGTCCCCGCTGAAACCTGACGCCGGGGAGGCGACGGGCGGGGGGACGCCCGGCGCGGCGGCGCAATGCCACGCCCGGGGACGGTGGCGAGAGAGCTGGGGCGGGGCGGTGCGCTGTGAATATCGAGCGGTGGGGACATTTTCATTCTTGTGTTGGCGAGCCGAGACGGGAGAGGCAGTGGGTGGAGAAACAGCGATTGTGTGAAGAGGCGTAATTGTGTGTGCAAAGAGTGAATACGAACATTTGAACATCGAACGGTGTTTACTACGGCAAAGGGAGACAAGAGCTGAGACTGGCTAGTGGACATTTCTAGCCTCTATACTTCAAGACCCCAAGGCCTTTTGAAGGTACGCCAACTCTAGACTACGCACGAGATGCAGGGTAGAAGACCTTCTTGACGATGATGGAGTGTTGACCAGCAGTAGCGAAGGGAAGGCCAATGTCCTCTGTAAATTATTCGCTAGTGTTTTCACGGACGAAGGGACTAGCGTCATGCCTGTGTTACCGTTTAACTTTACTGGACCGTTACTGGATGATGAAGCCATCTCTACCCAGGCAGTGGCAAAGAAATTGGCCACTCTGAAGACCTCGAGCGCCCCTGGGCCAGACGATGTCCATCCAAGGCTTCTTCGCGAGTCCGCAGATGCCCTGGCGGCACCCCTCAGCATGCTTTTCCGAAAATCTTTGGCAATCGGAAGGCTCCCTCTGGAGTGGAAGCTTGGCGAGGTAGCCCCGATCTTCAAGAAGGGTAACCGACAATATCTAGCGACCTACCGCCCAGTGCGCCTTACTGTCATTCCCTCCAAGATACTCGAAACTTTCGTCCGTGATGCCCTACTTAATCACTTCTCGGAGTCTGGACTTCTTCATGCAGCCCAGCATGGGTTTCTCTCTAAGCCTTTGATGCTGTTCCCCATAACCGTCTGCTCTCCAAGCGTCATGCTTACGGTGTGAGGTAATTTTCTACGCCAGATCAGAGTTTTTCTTACTCACCGGATGCGTAGCGTAGAAAATTACCTCTCACACCATAAGCATGAAGCTTGGAGAGCAGATGGTTATGGGGGAACAGAATCAAAGGCTTTGCTGAAGTCCAGGTACGCCACGTCCACCGGCTCTCCATCCTCTACCGCAACGTTCCAATCCTAGATCAGGGCTTTTCTTACTCACCGGATACAGGGAGTGCGGGTCCAGGGCTCGAAGTCGGACTGGACCGACGTCGCCAGCAGCATCCTGCAAGGGTCAGTACTTGGACCAACGCTGTTCATTATTTTCGTGAACGATCTACCAGAACAAGTACGAAGCGTGGTCAAGATGTTTGCGGATGACACCAAGGTCTACTGTCGTGTCCCGAGGCCCCTGACTGACTCACCTCTGCAGGTTGACCTCGACGCCCTGGCCAAGTGGTCAAAGGAGTGGCCGTTCCCCTTTAGTGCAGCAAAGTGCAAAATAATGCACATCGGGAACTACAACCCGAGGCTGACGTACTTCTTGGACGGCGCCGAAATCGCGGCCGAGTCCACCGAGAAGGACCTCGGGATCTTCGTGGATTACCGGCTCCATTTCCACGTGCAGACGGCGGAAGCGATCTCCAAAACCAGATGCTGGCGGTCGTGAGGCGGTCTTTTGCCAGTATCGATGCTCGCACGTTGCCATTGCTTTTTTAGATCTTAGTGCGTCCGTACTTAGAGTATGGAAACGTTATCTGGGGCCCATTCGGCAAACTGGACCAGAAGCGGCTGGAACGGGTTCAGCGACGAGCTACCCGGCTTGTCTATGAAGTGAGGCGCCAGCCATACCCTGAGAGGCTCAGACTCCTTCAGTTGCTCTCGCTGTACTATGGTCGTCGTAGGGGAGACATGGTAAAAGTGTACCAGCTGCTGCACGGAGGTATGTCGCTGTCGGAAGAGGAGCTCCTGACAAGGCACGACTCGGAGGTGTCGAGAGGACACCAATGGAAGCTCAGAAAACCTCGAGCTAGGACTCTCGTCCGTCGTAACTCATTCAGCACGCGGGTTGCCAACGACTGGAGTGCCCTTCCACACCCGGTCGTGTCGTCGACCTCACTTGAACAGTTCAAGTCTAGGCTTGATACGCACCGCGCTGACGTCATGTACGACGTCCCACACTGAATCTTCCCATGATTTGACTGTCTGGTTACCGGACCGGGAGCTACCGGACCGGGAGCCTGGCGAGACCGGGGCCCACAGGCCCAGTGGCCTTTTACCATTCCCGACCGCCATAAGGTAAGGTAAGGTAAGTAATTGGCATTGACAAGTATCTGATATTGTATGACGTATAACTCGAAGACTTTTTATGTGTTTAAGTCATGTGTTTTACATTTATCGTGTTTTTTGGCATACGCTTATTGCATATATATTTTTATTCGCTCACTAACGCGATGTATTTTTTAATGTAGTTCGTATTTTACCACCATGCATTCTGTAAGACTGGAAGCCGGTTGTACTGGGTGCAGTTTGTCACAAATTTATCCTGCACCTGAACCTAGGTCAAGAGAGCTTATCGTAAATACCGTCAGAAGTGGCCTTTAATTTTGGAATTGTCAAGGTGTTCAGCACATTTGGAAATGACAAATTGAGTGAATGTTCAGTTGAGAGCCAAGTAGGTAGTAAGCTTATCTGCAACTATGATATTTGGATGCACCACATATTGGTATAACTATCTGTATACTGTGTTTTATGCAGAGTATATATATATATATATATATATATATATATATATAGATATATAGATATATATATATATGTAGTATATATGTGTAGTATAGTAATGGTGTGTTGCCTCAGCATAACATTTCATGAAGGTATGTGCAAAAGTGACAATTAAAAGGTTTGCACAGGACCAACTTGGAAACTCCTAAAACACATCATAAAATCCAGGGTAATGTAGAAGTTTTTCTGCCTTTCCAATATGAAATTTGCCTGATATTTGCAACTATGGCCTCCCATCCACCACCCTGATCTGTGCTGTAGCTCTGTCACCTGGGAGAAAGATTACAAGTTCCCATGTCACATTTACTGCTAGCAGCAGTTTGGTAGCATGCCATGCACTATGGCAAGTCAACCATTTAGACACCCTGGAGGTTGTGATTGGTTGATTTTTTAAATGGATGTTTATGAGTAGAATTGAGGTGGTGATGATGCTGTTGTATAATATGGGAGTACATTCCAACTCTCATTTAGCCAAGTGGCAAATGAAATTGAACCTATATATGTACCAAAATGGAATAAATTCTTAGCTGCATTTAATTCTGCTAGTGTAAGCATGACCTGACATGTTGGTTGGGAAAACAAAGACATGAAGGTACTTTAAGTCATTACTTACTGTAGTATATTCTATGTTAGCAGCATACTGACAATTTCTGAAGTTAGAAAGATAATCCTCCTCCAACAACTCTCATCTATGTCAACTTTGCCAGATGGTGTTGACAGTGCTGCTGTGCACACTCCTGGTGGTCAGTACCACTGCCACTGAGCCAGAACTGCGGCCCAACATAGTGGTCCTGATCGCCGACGACCTGGGCATTGGCGACATCAGTTGCTATGGCAACGACTCCTTCCGGACGACGCACCTGGACCGGCTGGCGTCGCAGGGGGCGTTGCTGACGCACCACCTAGTGGGCGCCACCGTCTGCACGCCGAGCCGCACTGCGCTGCTCACGGGCCGCTACCCAGTCCGTTCGGGCATGCAGGAGGCGCGCCATGGGCCGGTGGTGGTCAGAAACGTGCCGGGCCGTGCCGGCCTGCCAGCGGACGAGGTGACTTTTGCTCGCGCTCTGCGGGACGCCGGCTACCGCACGCAGTTCGTGGGCAAGTGGCACCAGGGCTGGTCGTGCGAGCGTTGGGAAGACCAGTGTCACGGCCCGCGCGGTCACGGCTTCGACTCATTCTTCGGCCTGCCGTTCTCGCTGATGGAGGAGGGAGAGGACGGTCCTGTATCGCAGAGGAGAGACGAACCGCTCCTGCGCCACGTGCTGCCGGAGCTGATGCTGGCCGACCCGCAGCCGCCGCTGCGGCCCGGCGACTGCCACCGCGCGGCGGCCGAGCTGGCCTGGCGACTGTGGCTCGACACTATCAACCAGACCGACTTCCGTGGCGGCTCGACGCCGCGTGCGAACTGGTGGGGTCACACGATGGCGGTCGAGAAGTTCCTCAACTACCAGCTGGTGCGCGACTCAACGGTGGTGGACTGGCCGTACCAGCTGGCCGGCCTCACTCAGCGGCTGGTGGCCGAGTCGGAGCGGTTCGTGGCGTCGGCGGCGCGCGACGGCGAGCCGTTCCTGCTCGTGCACTCGTTCCTGCACCCGCACACGCCGCTGTTTACGGCGCCCGAGTTCCGCGGCGTGTCGGGCCACTCGCGCTACGCCGACAACGTGCTGGAGATGGACTGGGCGGTGGGGCAGCTGCTGGCCGCGTTAGACGCGGCCGGCGTCGCCGACAACACCCTCGTCCACTTCCTGTCCGACCACGGCGGCCAGCTGGAGCTGGTCGGGCCGGACGGACAGCGCGAGGGCGGCCACAACGGCGTGTTCCGCGGCGGCAAGGCGCAGGGGGGCGCCGAGGGCGGCTTGCGCGTGCCTGCGCTCTTCCGCTGGCCGGGCCGCATCGCCGCCGGCAGTCGCGTCGAGGTGCCGACCAGCGCGCTGGACCTGCTGCCCACGCTGCTGGAGGCGGCGGGGACGAGTCTGCCGCCGCGGCCGCTGGACGGGCGCAGCCTGCTGCCGCTGCTGCGCGGCCTCAGCAGTGCGTCGCCGCACCGGTTTCTGGCGCACTACTGCGGCAGTGACGTGCACGCGGTGCGGTTCACCCCGGCCGACGGTGGCGCCGTCTACAAGCTCCACCTGGCCGTGGCCAACTACCCGGATCCGGCGGTGGAGCACTGCGGCCGGGCGGACGGCCTCTGCGCGTGCTACGGCGACGACGTGCGCAGGCTGGACCCGCCGCGGCTGTTCGACGTGCAGGCGGACCCGGCGGAGCGTCGCGAGATCCCGTCAGAGGTGAGGCGGGTCGGAGGCTCGCGCCGTGCTGAAGGCGGCTGGCTTTCTTGTGGTTGAGAGTTTGGTACGGAATTGCAATAATTATGAGATCAGTTTCAAGTTTTTCTTGCTAGCTGGTGTCGAGTGACCTCTATGAAACCAAGGAGGTGTAATTTAAGTAATTAATGTGCTATGGATGTAATTGACTGTGATGGTGGTGTTGGACATTTGTGTGGGGTTTTTAATTGGAAAAACCATTTTGGTGGTGATTTGGTGCTGTTCACAGCTCAGCTTTTTTGAGACCTAGGTCTCTCCAGGTTTTGCGCTACACGTCCACGAACCTATGCAGACTTCTTCGTGCAGACTATTTCAAGCTCACCAAGGCATCCAGGATGCCATAAAGGCGTCCTTCAAGTCCTGTCATTCCATGGACTGTGCGGCGATCAAGGACAGGACGAAAGAATTGTCGATTCGTTCATATCTGACGTTTGTTAGCACGATTTCTTGATGTAACCGTCATCGTCAATTGGCTCTCAATCAGTGTTGTGAAATGTATGATGACGCAATCAAGCAATGACATACTGAGATACATATTTGCTAGATAGAGAGTAGTGTTGTGTATAGCGATGCTTTCCTCTTGAAAGTGTGCCAATAGTTAGAAGTGAGCCTATTTCGTCATCTCTGATGTTTGCTTCAATGTCTGCAGATGTGGAACACTCCCTTTAAGTGACGACTAGGAGGCCTTCCAGCTGTGTGTTCATTGTGTTACAGGTTCCCTATGCCATGTAAATTGCACCGACGTTGTCAAGTGCCTACCCTTCCTAAAAAGTTGTCCCCGAATATCATAGCACCGTGCGTCGCCTCCTCCACAGCACGCCACCTACCGGGAGGTGGTTCCCCTGATGCTGGCGGCGCTGGAGGAGCACCGGCAGCAGGTGCCGGTGGCGCCCTCTCAGATGGACCAGTTCGAGCTGGTCGTCCCGCGGGCTGAGCTACTGCCGTGGGGGCAGCTGCACAAGTTCCGCGGGGCAGACTTCGACATGCACGGTCTGCACAAATGGTGGGAGAACGGCGGCAGCTGCGGCGCGGTCCCCGGCCAGTGCGAGGAGTACGGCAGGTAGCCGCTAGGTGGCCGGAGTTCGGGGACCGTGGAGCGCACCAAAGCCGCTAATAACGGCTTTCGTGGCGTTCTTCCGAGGCAATGTCACGAACAATGTGGTGATCGTAGACGCTGATGGCTGAAATATGTCCGTAGTCGTGTGTCCAGACAACGCGGTGAAATTAGCATGCGAAGTGTGCGGCCATAGTCGGCAAATTTCATGGAGCGAAGTAAAATCGTGCAGTATATATGCGTACTTGTGAAATGTTACATGAGAAGTGATAGCAAACGCTGCGTTAGGCTGCAGCGTGTTCTACGGATTTTAATGGAACTTCGAAGAAATATGGTGATGGTGACGCATGGTAACACTGTGTTCGTTTTTATAGCGCCGTATCGCCCGGTAAGGCGGGCATTTAGGCTGTGTGCTGTGAACACTTATACATTCTTTGCTTTGGTAGAGATCAGGTTTGGAATGTCCACTTCAGCGGCAGCATTGGGACTCAGGCATTTCCACAAGCAGGTCGTGGCCAGGTCCGTCACCATTGCGCGTACTTCGATGTATCCTGCTCTCGAGCTGGATGAAGCCCGGCTTCCGTTTGATAGGGGGCTGTTTTCTTGCAAACTTGCATTGGTTTTGACAAGTTTGAAGTCTTTCTGTGGTTGAATTTGTGGAATTTCTGAAGGTTTTGTGGTTTTTGTGACTATCATTGAAATGGCATGCGTCATTGATTTCTGTATGCGTATTCAGCGTGCGAATATCGTACCGCTAGTTGACTTATGCTCAAAGTGCGTGATTGATGTCGATGTTGCTTGGGTAGAGGTAGTAGCATCAATCAGGATCACGTTAGATCGCTGCTGTTCAATACTGGGGCGACTTTATGTGCTCTAACACTAGACGCATAAATATACAGGGTACGGAGGCAGCAGCCAATGCTATCTGGTGGTCGTCTGTCGTCTGATAATATCCTTCGGAACGCTAAGTCCTATTGCTATAACGTGGGTATGATGAATCATGTGCCAGTGCTTTACAAGCCTGGCAACCGTTCCTCCACGCAGTGAAACGCTCCGTCGCTAGCATCGCGTTCGTTTCCGTGGCCTGGAGGCCGCCAGACCGTGGGGATCTGCGGGCGTGCCATGGCCGGGCCGGTGGCGCGGCGGGGCTGTGGCTCGACCGGGCGGCCGGCGCCCCACCGTCGGCTCTGCCTCGGCTACGCTCCCGGCGTCCCCGGCCGGGTCGTGCTGCGGTGCTCAGTGCGGGGCCGCCGGTGGCACGCGCTCGTCGGGGGACCGGGTCCGGCGCCGGTATCGGCCGGCCGGAGAGCGATAGTCGCTGGCCGTCTGACCTGTGTAACTGGGCCAGCCGCCACGTTACACGTTACATGTATTTCTGGCCAGCCGCTAGAAATCACACGCCGTTGTGTGTATGTTACATATACCATTGTAGTGATTGCGCCACCCGAGCAGACTGCTGCGTGTAAGTGACTAGGAAACACCAGAAGAAATTTGCGTTGCCTGGTTATCGGCGGCCTGCAAAGCTTATGGACTGTCCAAAGCGTGATTAATTGGGCGCCTTGTTCGGGCTATAAAACCGGTTACTTGGCTAAAGGCCCACTAATCCTGCGGTATCGTTACTTATCATGTGTGGCCCCCGCACGATTTTTGCATGTACTCAATGCGCGCGCGGGATGAATCGTTCTGCCATGATTTCTTAAGTAGGATTGAAGTTGTTCGATAGTAACATAGGTCACTGTGTCCTTTTTCGACAACCATTTAGCCTGCATTCCGTATTTCAGACGCGTACGTGTCGTCAATGGGATTGGGCAGCATAAAACCTTCACCAATCGATGTGCCATAGTCGATATCCTTTTTTACGGAATATGGTGGCCTAGAATCAGGTCGAAGATCATCAAATGTATCAAAAACCGGAAGAATAGGGTCGTTAACAACGCCATGCTTCGAGCGTATTGCACCGATCAGCATCAAAACTTCACCAGTTGATACGCCATGGCCGGTAGCCTCACATGTTTGGAAAAACCTGACTTTGGTCTGGCCAAAGGTCCCCAAAAATATCCTACGCCACCAAAAGTGTCGCTCCATGGCGCGCCGATTGCTAAAGATCTTGTGCCGATCAGTTCCAAAGGCTGGGCGCATGGGGACTTCAGACTGTTTACAGGTGGTTTCGGCCATTTTGGTGACCTTTGACCTGACCCAAGGTCGCCATGTCTCAGGAAGGACAGGATGTCGACTACGGCGCATCGATTGGTGAGGGTTCCATACTGACCAGTCTCATAAGCGTGGAGCTTGGGGTTGTTTGGAGCCAACTTTGTTGGTTTTGGGCGTTTTGGTGACTTTTGACCTGATCCAAGCTCACCATATTCTGGAGGGGATAGGTTAATGACCAAGTGGTATCGAATGATGAATATGTCGTGTCGATTGGCGCCACAGGCTCGGGGTGTGGGGCTGCCAGGAGGTTTGGTCGTTTGATTCCTCCCCATGTCACGCCGAAATGCCCACACACGTCACATGCACACACACGCGCACGCACGCACACGCGCACTCAAAATGATGAAACCATACCCGGTACAATCAGTGAATATACAAATTAAGGCCGTACGGCAGGCAGGGTTCATTGCAGTCGGGATGCATAGCGGAATGAACAATATGCATGAATGGTAGCGCCTGACGCATAGCTTATGAGAGACACATTGGTTGTGGCCATGAACTGGCCATTGAAGGACATTCAGCAACTGAAGTGTGAGGAAAGTGATGGGGGAGGGGGGGGGGAGGTACCGCACACTTGCTAATGAGAGCGAATGTCGGCTTTATGGGCGGTAGCGCTCATCTCCACCTCACTTGGCCTCCGCTTTTACTACCCCCGGCACCACCTACGGCAGAGTATTTTGGGGTTTCGTGTTGTCATGACACATGGGCGATCATACATACAATTCGTTGGGCAACATCTTTTCGTTCATCAATCAACCTCCCCTACCCCTTGGTCACAGCACAGTCGCTAAACGCTTGGGCGAAACGGGGAATCGTGGTAATACCCCGCATACCAAGGTCCCCGGCTTCGGGCTATCATTGAAAATCTATCGCCTCGGCCAGATCAATGAACTTCGTTACTACGCCTTGCACTTTACTTTTATTCAAAAAAAAGCTTTCCATTCACATTAGCAGTGCTGGGTTGGCGCTTCATAATCAAATTACAATGCAAGGTCCTCAGGTGTTACAACTAGCTCTCCTGCCACGCCGTCGGAATGCACTTCGAGGCGGATGTGTTCGCCATCAACACACAAGCATAGCGACAACGTGTTGTAAACGCGCGATTCCGGTCTCTACAAACCGTACCGGACATGACGTGTCAAGAGGTCACCAGGTTATGGTGCGCATAGTGTCCATGGTGCCTAAGCCATGCCTGGCCGGTGGGCCGGCAGCGTGGTCGTGACGTCACGTATGCACTCGGCCGGCCCGCAGCAGTCGCAGCCCGTCCCCCACTGTGACTGCGCCCGTCTCTGCCGAAGTCCAAACGCCGGCGGCGGGGGAGTTGCGCGCCGAATCAGCGACCTTACGATCTCGCGACAAAAGTGACGCGAGAGCGGAGATGTGATAGCCATTGCCAGGCGGTCGAGCTGCGACTCTCGCCCAGTCTCTGTCGGCGCGCCACTCCTCGGCGACCGTGGCGACGCCAGGCGGCGGCCGCCGGCATTGCTAGTGTTGGGGCTCGGCTCACCAGAGGGCGTTAGCGTCCGTTCGGCCCGCGATTCGGCCATGATCTGGGACTGCATTTCCGGCGGGGCGCTCCTGACCATGCCGTGCCTGAGCAGGACGGAACGTGCGCGCACGGGGGAGCCGGTTCCTATCAGGACCTGCTCCAGCCCCGGCGACGGAGCCAGCCGCTCGGAGTCGCACGCAGAGCCGGTCCATGGCGTTGTTCGGCGTCCGCCCCCTCCCCGCTCGCCCGCCGGCCGCCGCCCGCCGTCCGCCGCCCGGCCCCTCACGGCCCTCGCCGCTGGCCACAGCTGGGGATCGAGCCGCCGCGCGGATGGTCGCGGGCACCACCGGCAGCACTGCCGCCAGCGTCTGAATGCTGACGCCGGTCAGGCGGCTGGCCCGGGAGGCGGCTCTCGAGCCACCGCTCCCGCCATTCGAGCCGCCGGCCCCACCCTTCGAGCCGCTTTCCTCCTTGTGCTGCACGCGCGGGCTCGGCTTGACGCGGTTCTTGTGCAGCACATCGGCTAAAAAACGGCAGCGGCGCGGCGAGTCTGTGGGGGCGGGCTTGGCGCGCTCGCTGGCCAGTCCGCGAATGTACTCGTACGTGGTCATGCCGCGCGCCATGATGTACACGTGGAAGAGCAGGAGGTGCAGCAGCAGCACGCCGCAGAGCAGCGAGAGCAGCGTCAGCACGCCCGTCGCCCCGATGAACACCGCTGGATCGGCCGGCAGCCAGAGCATGGTGAGCCCGGGCGGGCACGCGACCTCCCCCGTTGCCGTGGCATTCGGACTCGGGCACGCCCCGCACGCGCCCAGCCGGACCGGTGCCACGTACAGCAGCGCCATCTCGGCGACGGCCAGCGCGAGCAGGAAGAACGACAGCACCACCGCGCTCGCCACGCACGCCAGAAACCAGCCGTAATTGCGCCGGCCGACGCAGTGATTGAGCCACTTGCAGTGGTGATCGAAGCGGTCAACGCACTTGTTGCACACGGAGCAGTGCTTGGTACGCTGCGAGGCGATGCTGATGTTGCACAGGTGGCAGCGGCCGTTCTCGATGACGTGCGCGTGCCGGTTGCGGTCGAACTCGGGCACGGGCACGCGCTGGCACTGGGCGCGCAGGTCTGCGTCAGCCGGGTCCAGGAGCATAGCAACAGCATGCGTCACCACGTGAACGAGCAGCACGAACGCGGCGAGCGCGCAGACCGGCAGCCGCAGCGGCGGACAAAGCGCCGGCAGCAGCACGCCGACCAGGTACAGCACGCTGATGAGCAGCAGCACCCAGGCAGCCAGTTGCTGCGCGTGGAGCGGCGGCTGCAAGCCATGCACACGCCGCCACTTGCGGTACTCGGGCGCCAGCTCCTGCCCGGGCGGCGGCCGGCACGGACACCGCCCCGGCGCCGCCATGGACGGGCGGCGGCCGCGCCGGTCGGGGGCTGACGTACGCTCAGTTGTCCTCCCGGTGGTCGCTGGGGTGTCGATCCTCACTTGGTCGGTGGTTGCCTCTTGGTTGCCGTCGGTCGCTCGGATACCGGTGGTCACGCGGTCACCGACGTCGTTCGGTCAGCGATGCTTGCTCGGTCACCGACGTTACTCGACCGATGGCGCTCACTCTACTACCGATGTCACTCGACCAGTGACGATCGAACGGTCACCGACGGTCACTCGGTCACCGATGGTCGCCCGGCGCGGTCATCCCTCCCCGCCCCACCGGACAGCACTGTCGATGCTCAAGATATGGTGGTGGCCCTGATTGCTTTCTGGATGGCCGGTCGATGCTGCTGGGATATTAGGAAGCTCGTCTCCAGTTCCGCCCTCTGATCTTGGTGGCCGCGGCAAGCTCTAATCATGGCCGGCAATAGGGTATTGGTTGGGCTTTCAGGTGCATATCTCCTGGCGGCTCTGACTGCTGTGGCTTTCCCAGCCTCTACCACCTCGATCGCACAGTGGGCACGGGTAGAGGAGGTATTTGTACCGTCTAGGTCACGATGCGTGGTGTGCTTTGATGACAGCCTTCATGTTTTCAGGAATATCTTTCGAACAATCTAGCTTTACCTAGGCAAGTAGTTCTCGACGTTTGCCACAATTACCTGCGGTGATGTGTTGGCATGAACATTACCACGTGCAAATAATTTAGCGGTCTTCCCATAATTTAGATTTCCTCATTGCGTTTGCTGGGAATTGGAATTAAAGAGGCGCATGAAAGATACCGGCAAGCACGTGCATTTATATTTCATAGAAGAGTTTGCCACTTCTCACATGATCACAGCAAGGTAGAAAGAAGATAAAACGGTTCCAGTGATAATTGGTCGCGCTAATGCAAACCAAATATGCGACTTCCACGAGTGCCAGAAACTGGCATGGGTCAAAAACTGAGCCGTGCGTATATTTAACCACGTTCTGAGCTGCAGACGAATGCACTGCTTATAGGTCAACTCAGCTATAATTTGCTTTTGACGGTGATATTTTATACATTTGCATACGCTGGCCACTGAAGCAACATCATCCAGCAAAAATTACACCAATAAAATGTCTGCATACCACATAGATAGGCTTGCGGGGACACGAGGAACTCAGTGCGTTATTTGTTTTGTGTTACAATCAGCATGACTTCCGTGTCAATTAAGACGCAAAAAGGCATATCAAGCACACAATAATGTGCGAGTGTGCGCAGGCTTATACTGAACGTTGTTCGGCAGCAGCTTAACACAAACACAACAAGATAACAATACGCAATCTATGATAATATGGTTCTTCCAATTAGAGTTTCGCACAGTCTGGCGAGTGTGATGTCAACCATGATCACGTCATGTTTGTTCGCGGCTTCTGCAGACGTTGCTTGCTTGTGAGGACCTTCTTGGAACCCTTGATGATTCGAAGGACGACGTCAAGTGGCGGTAACGTCACCAGACTGATGGTGGCCGTGGCGAATAGGCCTAATACCCCTGGTCGTAATCTGTCGGGAGAACGTAGCCGTTACCGACACCCTGCCACTATCCGTCCAGTCATCCACCATCGTGGTTCAAGCGGCATGTGTCGGACATTTAAAAATTAACGTGTACAACGACACATTGGCAGGCACACGGATCTATGCAACGGCGCTTGCCACTTGTTTTTGCGTCCGTCTGTGGCACGTTTTTTAATCTCATCCAACTGTAATATTTTTTCTTCTTTTTCTTGCCTTCCACGTCTACTGAATCATTTACGGACGCTCGACGCGTTCGCCATGTTCGCGATCACTACCAGTGCGTCCGTCTGACCAGGGACCTCGTCTGTCGGGCCAGGGATCTGGTCCGTCTGACCAGGGACCTGGTCTGTCTGTCCAGGGACCTCGTCCGTCTGTCTAGGGACCTTGTCCGTCTGATCAGGGACCTCGTCCGTCTGCCCAAAGACCTCGTCCGCTTGCCCAGGGACCTCGCCAGCCCATCTCCTCGATCGGCGCGGCGCCACCGGCGGCGGCCGGCCGGCGCGAGCTGCGCACCTTTTGGATGCTTGATCCTATCCTTCAGGTCCCGGGTCTGGTCGTTCAGCCGGTCGATGGTTCTCTTCAGGTCGATGGTGTCCTGCTCCCGCTGAAAGCAGAGCAGACGTGTACCACAGCTCCATACCGCAATAAATCCAAGCAAGGGGCTTCTCATTATTGCGCGGCACGGCGCAATTTACAGAACGTAGTGGGTATGGCGTGCCGCAGGAGCTGTTGAGGCAAGTATAAAAACATTCATCGAATCCAATCGTGCCACAAGGAATACGTACGCCCATATCGGGCATACCCGGGCCATGACTGCTCAAACGCAGCTTGGCAACGGAAGCACGTCAGCTCCGAAATAGCCAACACCAGCTGGCCACCATCGCTTAGGCC